GAAAAGAAGACCAGAAGCAGACAGATGGTAAAGAGACTCGTTTCAAGAGGTTCAATCATTACAAGATAGGATTCCCTGATCATCAGCTGTACACATTTTCATCGCACACGAGCGATGAGAATTCATGATAAAGAAGAAAAAGAATAGAGGTTTCGGCGTATTTGCGTCGTTGCCGGGTCTCGCCTCTCTTATCCTTGAGTTCTTTGCATTATCTCTTGATTTAGAGAAACTGGCACTTTCTCTTCTTCTTCCTGGCCTTGAGGGGCGGCAGCGGCTTGCCATCCGCGTTGGCGGCGCGGGCGGCGGCGGCTGCCGACTCGACGTTTCTGCGGTCGTTGGCGACTATGGTGAGGATGGCGCGGTCAAAAATCTCGTCGACGCCAACCATCTCCTTACTGCTGCACTCCATGTACTGGGCGTCCATCTTTTGGGCGACGGCCATGCCCTGCTCCGAGGTGACGGGCGTCAGGCCCTGCGTCTTGAGCATGTCGATGCATGAGCGCTTGTACCGGAGGTCTGATTTGAGGCCGACGAGAATAAGCGGCGTATATGGGCAAAAGTGTAGGACCTCGGGGTACCACTGTGTGGGTTGCCGTGGTTAGCATGTGGAAACTGGCAAAGGCCACAACGGGCAAGAGGCGGGGAACGCTACCTTGTCAATGACATTGTCTAGCGAGTTGGGGCAGTCAATGGCAAAGCAGACAAAAATCAAGTCTGTCTCTGGGTAGGAAAGCGGGCGAAGGCGGTCGTATTCCTCTTGTCCGGCAGTGTCCCACAGAGCCAGCTCTACGGTTTTGCCAGAAGGCGGGTGGACGGGGTAGGTGATGTAGTTCTCGAAGACGGTAGGAACATATTTCTATCGAAAACAAGGTTAGCGATCAGCCATCCCGATGCGCCTCTCGCTTCGCGGCGCGGCGCGGATTTGCGCCCGGCCTCGCGCATATAGATTAGGACTTCCGCTTACCTCTGGAAAGTAACCTTGGCTATAGCTAATAAGCAGGCACGTCTTGCCGCAGCCGCCATCGCCCACCACCACAATCTTCTTGGAGTATGTGGGCGGTTCCGTGAGGTGCGTCGCGGCCGACTCACGGCCCGAGGCGGAGCTCATGGTTGTGCTCACGGTGCCTTCACTAGATCTTGTGCGCTGGTTGCGGCGCGTCTGATCGTAGCTTGCCTGGGCGTAGTTTGAATCGCGATACTGATGCTGCGACGCCATTGTTGTTTGTGTATGTATACAGAATATGAAGGGACGGAAGGAAAAAAAAAAGGGCGCCGTCGACGAGGGATGTACGACGTATGACCCGTGTGTGATCGTCTCTTCTCCCTTTGCGACAACTTTCTTGTGCAAGTCGACTAAGAGCGTTTTTGGTCAACGTTGCCCAGGGTGATCTTGAACTCCCTGAGAGAGGGGCTCCGGCTGTTCGACGGTGAGCGTTTACGTGAAACAGGCTGCTGTGGTGGCGCGCTTGCGGAAAGAGCTTTGGCAAAAGGGAATTGACGTCGTGCAGCGTGCAAAAGTAGATGCTATATTCAGGCGTGGAAAAAGTATAGTCAATGAAGCAAAACGAAATGTGTACTGGTATGTTGAGAAGAAGGAAGCTGGGGTGATTGCCAGAGCTGAGTGGGCAGGCCTTCTTTTTGGCGAGCTGTGGCTGGGTTGTGTGTGGTGCTGGCGGCCCAAAGTAAACATGTTGGCAGGGCAACACCAGGGGCGCGTTGGGGACCGGTCTGGTTCAGACATGAGCTTGTCGCGGGGCTGGCCACCTTTTGACAAAGGACCATTTATTTTTGGTGGCGGCAAGAGGGGCTAGAATCGGTTAGAATCGAGGAATAACCATGTCTCGGAGTTTTTTTTCTACCTAAATAGCCTGCTGCTATTGTACAGGCCCGGTGTGGATTGTGGGCGAAAGCGTGACTTGCATGATCTAAATGGTCTCACGACAGCGCAGATACCTAAATAGACAGTATTAAGTAGAAAATGCAGTGTACCATGTTCATTGATTGGAAATGCTCAAAGTAAAATGCAGGATTTTGAGGCTCTTAAATGCCGTATATTTTGTTCGACTTGCCTGCCGCCGCTGTTTGCTGCCAGCTGACAATGGCCACCCGTTTGCCTTGCGCCGCCGGCGCGACATTGACTTTATCTCTCTGATGAATACAAAATCACTTTCTAGGCTCTCTTATTCTCTCACACTTGACGCTTTTACATCTTCCAGAACTTTGCACTCGTCATAATTCTGTTCAGGATGGCTGATTCGCACCACGGCGACGTGTTAGCGACGATGAGGATTGGCGTATTCAGCGACTTGACTTTCGTCTGCAAGCAGCGATCTTTTCAGGTTCACAAGGCCCTCGTCTGTGCTCAATCAGACAAGCTATACTCCGATATTGAAAGTGCCCAGGTGACCGTATGTCCACAAAGCTCTAAGAGGATCTTGTTCCCCAAGTCTAGCTAACTCGGTGCATCGAAAGCAGAGATCCGGCGCTATCGAGATTGACATGAGCGATTTTCAGCCTGAGACCGTGGAATCATTTGTGAACTATCTTTACACTGGAGAGTATTCGAGAGTTATAGAAGGAATTGGCGTCCGAACTCCAGCCCGATGATGTTGTACTCGCGGAAATACTAAGCCATCTCTAAGCTCATCACATTGCATTTCGCTACGAGGTCGACAGGATGATGTCTCTTTCGCTTTCGAATCTCCAAAGTCTCCTTGAAAAGTATAAAGGCAAAAAAAGCTTGGTGTCAGCCTTGCCATCGGCCGCTCGGGTGGCGTATTCTCTGACGATCGGCCATGATGTGAAGGACTCGCTAGCTGCTTCATTTGCTTGGCATCTGCCCAGTCTTGCAGGGAACAGTTTCCCGATATCTACACCATTCCAGAGTTCTTCGAGCTTGTTCTATACCACTGTGCACGCAAGATCGCATCCCACAAAGACATTGCATCGACTTTCGACAAGAGACTGCAAGCATTGACGATCAAAAATGCTCAGGATTCAATGGCGGCGAATGAAGCCCTGCAACTGATACGAGACAGGAAGCATTGCGTTAGTCAGAGCTGTAGAGCTGGCTTCAACGTCCAAGTCAGCAACACATGTGAGGTCACTTGTCGCCTTTGCCTGCAGAAGCAAAACTTGACACCCGGGGCGGCGGTAAGTCTTGCAGCTCCCATATTTGCCAGTCGAGCACGGAATCCATTTCGCAAGACCAAATCCACACAGGATACAGCGCCAAAACCAGTCATATTCCAGGCATCAAATTCGACTCCTGTCGAGAACTTATTTGGCTCCAGCCGTCGGTCTCTATTTTCTGCAAGACATCCGGACCTCGTTGGAAGGCCTAAGCAAAAGAAGAGGGTAATGCTCCCTGGGCAGTGGGATGTCTAAATTTGAATACGCTGGAGAGACAAGGGACTCGATTTTGGGCAGTCGTGGAGACTGTTTTGTATTCAAATTGAATTATGTAGCCGTGAGAGAATCAAGTCTGCCTAAGAATAGATTTAGAAAAGGTTTGTACTGTAAGTAGGGTAATTGGGTGGGCGTCATTGCAACTCGCGCCGAATCCAGATTGTGTGGTCCGTGCACCAGCACCAAAAATTAGGTCAAAAAATTCACGACCCTCTATGCGCGACGCCAAATCTTTCTCTTTCCATCATCACGCCTGCACAGCTCCTCAACGTCTTAACGCCATTGCCGCTGCATCCGACTCCATCGGCCCAGCATGGCGACGACTCAGACTCCCAGCAAGTACGTCACTCTTGTGTCGGGCGACGGCTTCGAGTTTGTGGTGCTGCGCGAGGCAACCATGGTCAGCCCGATCATCAAGGGCATGCTCGAACCCCGAAGTGCGTGAATGGAGCCTTTTCTCGGGTGGTCACGCGACTCTCCCTGCAAGGCGTGACCCCTTCATTACATGCCACAACCAAATGCTTACCAGGTATCTAATCGACGCAGGCCAATTTGCCGAGGCTATTGATGCTCGATGCGTGTTCCAGGAAATGAGGTAAGCCCTACATGCGGTGCAATCGCATCTGCCAGGAACCGAGGGGGGATGACGATACAGGCGTTGCATCGCCGAGCTTTTATATCCTGACAAGAACCGCCACGTCAATGGCCTTGTCATTGGCGGCGGCGCGTTCTGGTTGATTTACGACTACACTTGAACCGACTCTGCCTCGCGTTTCCCAGTCTAGTGCAGTTTTCCCCTGGGAAGCCTAGGACGTGGAGCTAATCTGGTCCACCCAAACAGCGCCTTGGTCCTCGACAAGATTGTAGAGTACTTTCACTACTGGTACCAAAACCGCAACAGCCAAGACGTGCCCGACATGGAGATATCGCCAGAGATTTGCCTCGAGGTGCTGGCCGCTGCGGACTACCTGGGCTTGGACCAGTAAGCTCGCCAGCTCAATTGCCAGCCGACCGGACTCTAACTTGGTTGACTGTCAGAGCTATCATGACAAACTGATTTCTATGGATACCCGGTAGGTGGTCATAGGCTTTGGCTACCTGCGATTCTGGCGTTTGGGATAATTTGCTTTGCGCATTACGAAGAGTAACAGCCTCACGGTATATATCAATGAAGACGACGATTTCATCCTGCGCGACGGACCGGTCCGGAACGTGATGACTAGCTCAGGTCTATCGAGGGTAATTTGTGTACCCGAATACCTGGGTATGTGACTGTACCATTTCAGCATATACGTTCTTCTCCTCATCTCTCCGTGGGTCGAACGTCTATTAGAGATGGAAGATTGAAATATCCCGCTCACTCTGTGTAGCTCAGGTGTGCATTGAGTGTTCACTTTTTCTGCTGGGAGACACTGTACCGTACTATTACTTTTATTGGCCTTTATTGTTTGTGTATCGGCTTTTGCATCGCTTGTGGTGTGACATGTGTTGGGTCTCGCTCGTATAAAGCCAGTTCTGTTCTACAGCTTCCGCGGAACTGGTCGAGTTGAGCCGACATGGCAATGCATGGACTTGCAGGAACTGGTCGCTGCGGTGGCGTTCACGTAGGTCTGATCAGACAGCGACCTGTCATTTTGCCCACGTCCTTATCCACGTCAGCGTCGTAGTCGGTGATCAAAGGGCTGATAGACGCGTCCATATGTAGATCGGCCAACGGTCTACAGTCGACATGTGAGTGGCTCAAATAGCGACGTGAGTGCTGGCATTGGAATACATGAGATGAGGAGAAGAAGAACTACATAAGAGAACAAAGAAGGATGGCTGACATGACATGTAGAATTGTTAGACTGCAAGAGAAGAGATGCATTGAAAGAAACTCTGAAACGTCTTTTCTTGTCACTGACTTGCACAGCTCTTGATATGCGAGTAAGCAGCGATTGGCTGCTCGGTGTGGATACGCATGGCTAGGAAAATGTGTAACATTTGTAAGGCTTCAGCTGGGGGATGCAGCAGGCCTTGTCAATTGACCTGTCGTCTCATGTTTTGTTGTCAAGCACGCGTTCTCATCATAAACTACTACTACTACTGTACAGAGGAGCTCGACGCATCTCACTATTTGTCCCTCGTTTGCTGGTTCAAAGCCAACCCACCCCCACGCAACGGCCAACTGCCTAATCTGTATTACCAGTAAAAGGAAGAAAAAAGTGGCGCCCGCATATCGGCAGCTAATAGAAGGCGAGCGCAGCGCCAGCTGGTTGGCTGGTTGCGCAGGCTTCAGGCAACCAACACATATTGGCGTGGCCCTTTGGGTAGCATTGGGAAACAAGGTTGACCAGCCCGAGTCCTGTGCGTCGGGGGGGTATCATTGGATGGAGTTGCTTTGTAGTCGCATTACCGGCTCGCGAACCGTGACGGCAAACGACGACGGCATCGGCCACGCTCAAAGGAAATTTGAGCCCTGGATAGTCAACACAGACAGGTCGTTTGTCAGTGATGGGCTGCCACGTATTGTCGTATCTTGTCTTCACAAGTGGACGAGCACTCCACCAAGTCGGTGGTCGCTGGCCAAGGAGACGCTAGCGGATGGTTGTCAGCGCCAAATTGCTACTGCAATAGGTGCTTGGCAACGGGTCTTGGGGAAAAGTTGGAATGAATCTTTCCTTTTTTTTTCTTCTTCAATTTCTGGTTTTCTCAAATTCTATCTCTCCTCGGTCAGCATAGTCGTATTGGCCCGCCCGCCCCCCAAAAAGCTCCCAGGTTGGCCTTGGCCTTAAGAATATTTTTGGGCGTCGTGGGCGTGTGGCGTGGCTTGGCCACTTGCATTAGTTCCGGTAGTTCCAGAGGTAGGTGGTAGATAGTTGGGACGCTACTATGTACCTACCTTACCTACTTTAAATGGATCGGCAACTTGGACTTGTCCCAGGAGAAGAAAAAATAAGGTCGCTTCGAGAAAGGAAGACGGCTGCTGCACTACGGAGTACGCGGCCGGTTTTTTTTTTCTTTTCCTTTCTTTTGATTTTCTCTTGACACCTGGAATTTTAGAACGAAGGGGGGTCCAATTATTAACATTAGGTTCGTCAGCACCGCTACTTGGCCCTACTGTTTATTCAGTGGGTGGCCCGAGGTTTGTCGCCGAGATATAGCTCGGATAAACCAGGATGGCAAAAGGGAGGGCGGGGTGAAGGAGATGTATAATATTATAACGAAAAGGAAATATGGAATCTGAATAGCCGCTGATGTAATAATCGGTCAGGCTCAAAGAAACAGCCTCGATGCCGCGCGCAAACGGCTCTCTTGGGTGGCTGCGGACTAAATAATTAACTACCTACTCAGTACTCAGATGCGGGAGATGCCATGAGTCCCGCGTCGCACAGCATGAGAAAATCAACAAGTCTGCGGCCCGCTGATTCAAGCCCAAGACGCCAAGTACAACTGCTCCGTCGACGACAGACCCAGCAACCACGGCAGGCAAACGACAAGAGTTCCTTCTTTTAATCATTTCTCAAATTTGAAATTATATTGTCTTCTTTCATGCCATGCCGCTTGTCTGCAGTGTCACCATGATTCATCACCTAACTATGAACCAACGCAGCCAATTTTCTTCTTCTTCTTGTTCCTAGCGCTTGCTTCGGACGAGTCCCGACAAAGTGTCGCTTGAACTCTGTCAGCACCTTCTCGGCCCACTCCCGTCTTTTCCGCATTGATATATGCACCAAGAAAAAAGGGCAACTCCCCTCACCGACAAGACACACGCGGAAACGTTGCGTATTTCCACAGAGCTCTGGAACCTCCCTGTGATGGAGCTAGGAGCCAGCCTAACCCTGGATCCATTTTCTGACAGTTGTCATATTACAAAGTATCGTTCGCTACTTTCTTTGCAAGTGGTAGAGCGGTGGTTTCCGCCTCTGTGATTCCGACACCCCTCCCTCTCCTCTCTTCCGTATCATGTCATATTTGGAGGGGGTGCTGAGTTTGCGAATTGAGAAAAAAAAAAGCAATGTAGACGTCGGTGCAAAAAAAGAAGAAACAAGAGAAGAATTACAGTGTGGCGTATCCTGTAACAACTGCGTTATTCCGCTCTACATTACGCCTGTGCCTCCACATGATGCAAATAGCTCTCGAACATGGACTGACGATCTCTTTTTCTACACGCCCCTCCCCCCTTCCCATGTGGCACCCATTCAATCTATTTTGTGTCAGTGCGGCCAAGGCGAGCGAGCGCCGCTGGTACTGCCTGGGTCTGAGCCAGCCAGTTTCCTGCGAATTGACCATTCGGGTAATAAAACAAGCCTGTATTCCCTTTCTTTTTTTATTCTTCCTTTTGCATTGTTTGATTTACAGTGTCTCGGATTTTTGCAAGAATACTGTTCAATTTGGCCAACTACTTACAGACAGCTCATCCTCCTCCCACATCGAACGATACATCGAGTGACATTTCGGCACCCTGAATTCGAACAAAACTGTCACATTTTCTCAGAATAGACACAATTCCCAGAACATATACACCATTGACAACATGACGGCCGAGATCAAACACACCGACGGCGCCAAGCTGTCTGTCCTGCGAGGCTACGACACGTCCCATCTCGTCGTCGACGAGACGTGGGAGAAGCAAAAGTCGGGCGATGTCGAGTTTCCCAAGTGAGCGAAATCTACTCTTTTTGGTCGGTCATGCGATTGCTAAATGCAAATGTCTTTGATCCAGATCCCAGGCTGTCGCAGCTCAAGACGCCATTGCCGAAGGTGGACGAACATATCACGGCTACAACGCTGGCTGTAGGTTCCTCCTCTCCCATGAGACGCTTGTATAAACCCCGTCATTGACCAAGATTCTTTTCTTTCAACCCCCAACAGCCTATTATCTACCAAATGATCCTGTATGTTGACCCTAGCCGAGGGAGTAAAAAGAAAACTCTTTGGTGCGCTTTTCCACATTTACTCGTGGCTGACTAAAATCACTTGCAGGCGGAACACGAACGACTGGGTATGTCAGACCTTGCAACGCGGCGGGTCATATTTCAGCGTGGCGTTGACTAACGTGGTCTCGGCAGATCACCAGCACCGCATGGTACGCCTCATCCAGCAAGGAAAGCTCGGACTCGCGCCTGTCAAGGATCCCAAGAATGTTATTGACGTCTGCACCGGCACCGGCATCTGGGCCATTGAATATGGTAAGTTTCGCGAAGCACTTTCGACGGGGAGGGCGGCGCTTCACCCCCCGAGACAATTCGCACAATCCCATTGTTTCTAGGCCCCGATTTTCCCGTTTTACCATCCCATCTTCTTTGCACGCTGACAGAAGCCTGAACCCACGCTAATATTTCTCATAGCCACCGAACATCCCGATTGCACGGTCTTGGGAAGCGACCTGAGCGCCATTCAGCCCCGCGAGGGCGTGCCCAATTGCACCTTTATCCAGCACGACGTCGAGAAGCAAGACTGGGACTATGGCCGCCAGTTTGATTATGCGTACTTCCGCTACATGGTGACGTGCTTTGACGACATGCCCGCTGTCCTGCGCAAGGCCCGCGACAGCCTGCGCGAGGGCGGTTACATTGAGATTTTTGACACGCCCATCCAGGCCCTCAGCCTCGATGGCAGCATCGACGGCACTGCGCTCGAGGAGTGGGGCGACGTCGGGCGCGCCGCCGGCAAGAAGCTCGGCCGCGACATGGCCAAGCCGCGGCAGTACAAGCGCTGGCTCGAGGAGGCGGGCTTTGTGGATGTTGTCGAGACCATTATCGCGGCGCCCGTCAATGAGTGGTGCAAAGACGAGCGTCAGAAGGAGGTGGGCCGCTTCATGTTTCACGATTTTTATGCCCTGGTTGGCGGGCTTAAGAAGCTGGTGCTCGCGGCAGGCTACACGTCGGACGAGGCCGACGACTTTTTGCGCCGCATCCGCAAGACGCTCGAGGACCCTAAAGTGCACGCCTACTATGAAAAGTGAGTTTGTGCCCAACTCTGGTCACGTTTTCTGACATGGGAGCGATTGATGGTCATGACGATGAATGATGGAGTTCCAAGGCAAATGCTAACCATGAAAACTCCCTCTATTAGATACATCGTATACGGCCGAAAGCCCCGTGCGGATGAAGTCCCTGTCAAGGCTCCCGTGGCCGCCGAGCCGGAGAAGAAGGACATAGAGGCCGCCGTCCAGTCCGAGAAGCCGTCCGGCTTCGGCGCGATGATCTTGTCGTCGCTGGTCAAGTGCAAAGAGTCTCTGAGAATGACGCTCCGAAACAGGCTCGGCTTGGACGTCTAGATTCCCTGCCAACGTTTACGAATCACGATAAAGCGCCCATTGTATTTTAGCTTCTATTTGCTTGCACATTTTCTGGCTTTTTACGAACTCTTTCGACCCCTTCTCTCAGCTCCAGAGCGGTTTGGGGGTTGCCAACATGTACTTTCAAGCTTTCGCACATAGACATTTTTGCTATCCATCTTTCCTTCTTACAGTATAGATACTTGACGAGTTTTACTCGGCTCAAGCAAATGCAAATTCACTGGTTCTCGCGTGTCCGGTCCCCCCCCCCCCGGTTCGGGAGCACATTTTATTTCCTCGTTGCGTGGTAAATACGGATTAGTTACAGATTAATTACTGGGTAACCTTTTTGGCAAAGTAGCCATGCAAGGCTCATGCAGGCGGAGCGGAAAACGGGCTGGGCATCGGCGATGCATACGCATCCTCTTTTTTCCTCAGGTACCGTACCGTAAAGTGCGCAGGTCGATGGGCGGGTCGGCTGCTCCCTTGGCCTGCAGTATTTTGTCTCGGAACTTGAGCGGGCCTTGCTTGTCTGCAGCAAGCCAAGCAAGCATGGCGAGGCAAGTTCAAGACGCAAGCACTAAACAACGAGACAACGGGTCTCGCAGCGTAAGTGGGTTCGGTACGACTTGAGACGGCCGATACGAGATGCACTAAGACGACATCTTTGTGTCGAGGATCTTACTTTGCTTTCTGGGCAAGATGCGTCCTAGGTGTGTCAAAATGTCACCTTAGTATAGCTTCGAGAAGCACGCCACTTGAGGCGGGTGGACCCAGCTTTCTCAGCCAGCCGACAAATAGGTCTACATTGAAATGGATTTGCGATCGCCTATTACATTTGCCAGCATCCCTGAGCATGAGAGTCAAGCGAGTCTAAACCCTGCAGTAAAAAAAATCGTCTAATTGCGTTTCTAGAAATGTCTCTATCTCTGCACTAGATACGGAAAGCCCTCGCATCGTCATCCTCTCCTGGCGCACTTGTCTATTTGGTCGCGGGCTCGTCGAGCTGCTCGACTATCTCGCCCAGTAGGGCCTTGCTTTTCTCCGCGACCTGTGCGGCGGCCCAGCGCTCGAGATCCTCATCGCGGGGCTTCCCAGTCGCCTCGAGGCTCGCCAGCGTCTTCGCATTGGCCGGGATGCCGGCTGAGGTGTCTGCAACGCGTAGGCCGAGAACGCCGAGAATAGTGCGCAGGTGCGCCGTGACCGAGGCGCCGCCGCGGCCGGCGTACGAGATGATGCCCGCAGGCTTGCCGGACCACTCGTAAAAGAGCGCGTCGAGGGCCGTCTTGAGGCTAGCGGGGACACTGCCGTTGTACTCGGGCGTGAAGAAGATGAAGGCGTCGTAGCGGCGCACCAGGGCCGACCAGCGCCGCGTGTGCTCGTGGGCGTAGGCAGGCGTTGGGTCGTCTTTGGGGCGGCCCGCTGGGTGCAGCGGCTCGTCGAAGATGGGCAGCCGGTGTTCAGCGAGGTCGACTGTCTCGAGCTTGACGCTACTTGTCACGGCGGCGGGCTCTAGGTACTCCCGCTTGACAAAGTCATGAATGAATGGGCCCAAGCGCGGCGTCCGCGTGCTGCCGATGATGAGGGCAATGGTCTTTCCGGCGGCAGACATGATAAGTAGGGGGGGTGGTGATGTGTCCGGGGTTGGTGATGTAGCAGTTACTGGGATTGGTAAAAGTAAAGGAATTCGAAAAAGAGAAAAAGAAACAAGATCATTAATGTGAGGCGTTTGCTGGTAGATGTAGTCCAACCGCATGAGCTCAAACCAGGAAGATCTCGCGTGCCTGCGAGGCGATAAGCATGACCAACCATTAGTCATGAGTCCCTCATGATAAAAAGCCATCGCATCGTTCAGGCACCGTATTCTGTAATCATTTCTACTTTCACGTCAGCATCAGTTTTAGCATGGACAAAAATTTGGATTTTGCAAGTGATGGACAGTGCTTCCAGTGGCTCCTGCCGCGTGAATCCACCAATCGAGCGCTAGGCTTGCTTCTTCCCACGCTGCCTCAAACGCGAAAAACGTGCTTCCAGCAAACCGTCGACAGCCGCAATCCGCACTCGCCATGGCCGCCACAATTCTAGAATCTGGGGGGGTGCGTGTAGCTGTAGAGGGATGCGTGAGAATTTGCCTGTTCTCCGAAATTGCCCACACCGGCCTGCTAACTGATGCAGGGCCATGGTACGCTCAATGCCATATACGCCGCCGTTGATAGGTCTTGCCGTGAGCGGAAGTGGGATGCTGTCGATCTCCTCATTATCGGCGGAGATTTCCAGGTAATTTGACCCCAAAATTCTTGGATGGATAGTTGTCGTAAAGTTCAATTGGCTGATAATGGTAGTCTGTCCGCAATGCTCAAGATCTCGCCGTCATGGCATGCCCTGTCAAGTACCGTGAGCTTGGTGACTTTCCCGATTATTACTCTGGCGCCCGCAAAGCGCCTTATACTACCATCTTTATCGGCGGGAACCACGAAGCCAGCTCTCATCTTTGGGAACTCTACTACGGCGGCTGGGTCGCACCCAACATTTACTACATGGGCGCGGCCAATGTTTTGCGATTCGGTCCTCTGCGCATCGCGGGCATGTCTGGTATTTGGAAAGGTTTCGACTATAGGAAACCCCATTTTGAACGTCTTCCATTCAACGACAACGATGTGCGGTCACTTTACCATGTGCGAGAAATTGACATCCGCAAACTGCTGTTGCTGCGCACTCAGGTTGACATCGGCCTAAGCCATGACTGGCCCAAAGGTATTGAGAGACATGGCGATTCAGAACGCCTCTTCAAGCAGAAGCGAGACTTTCGACAAGAATCCATCGACGGCACACTGGGAAATACTGCTGCGGGATATGTCCTTGATCGCCTTCGCCCACCATATTGGTTTTCTGCTCACTTGCACGTCAAATTTGCCGCGCTGAAAAGCTTTAACCCACAACCGGAATTTGATACAAAAGAGACGGTACAGCCAGAGCTTAATGATCCAGTTGCAGAAGCTCCGCAAGAGCAAAATCCGGATGAAATTGACTTAGACCTGGATGATGACGACGATGTAGCTCTTCAGCCCAGCAATGATACGATGCCAGCACCAGAGGACCAAGAAAGCTCGAAAGAGCAGCAAATAGAGACCAACAAAGTCTCTGAAGAGCTCTTGGCCCAGCTTCCGGCTTCTTTTACAAAGCCGCCGCCGCGGCCTAAACGCACTCCCGGGCAGCCTGTTCCGCTAGGCATCAAAAACACAGATGTTCGCTTCCTTGCGCTCGATAAATGTCTTCCCGGTAGGCGATTTTTGCAGCTGTGCGAAATACACCCGTTCAATAAGGAAGAGTCTTCCCGTCACCCTGCAGGTGAATTGCCATCACGCTACAGATTAGATTACGACCCAGAGTGGCTGGCCATCACTCGAGTGTTCCACAAAGATCTTGTTATCGGCAACCCAGCCACTCAGGTGGCCCCCGATCTGGGCGAGGACGAGTATATCCCCCTCATAGATGGAGAAAGAGAGTGGGTAGAGACCAATATTGTCAAGGCTGGCAAGCTCGCAGTACCCAACAACTTTTCTCAGACAGCACCACCATACGAGCAAGGGACCCCCGAAATTGTGCACGATCAACCTGAAGAATATACCAATCCTCAGACCGCAGAATTCTGCCAGCTTCTCGATCTGACCAATCTCTGGGATTCCAGCGAGCAGGAAAGACAAGAAAGGAAGCAACGCGGGCCTACTCCGGTGGACAGAGGATTTCATGGCGGTGGCAGAGGACGGGGTGGCGGGCGTGGCAGAGGCGGGCGAGGTGGCGGACGGGGTGGCGGAAGAGGCCGTGGATTCCGTGGAAGATGGTAAACTTGTGTTACCATTTGAGTTCAAGACGATGATGCAGACTCGACATTCGAGACGTGACGGGCCGGAAGTTAACTTGCCAGGAGACAGATGTCAAGCAATAATCGCATGTGACACGTTGTATTATTTTTGTCAGAGCCTCGCGGGGACTAATTTGCTCATGATATCCAAGGCAATATTTACTAGTAATTTCTTTCACCACGTTACAACGCTTGCTCTGTTTTGTCCCTCGTTGTTCATCTGCTGTTGCTCGTTGGCCAATATGTGGACGACCGTCGCCGCCGAAGCAAAATAACGACGGGCCTCGAAGATAGAGAAAGAAAGATGAAACAACATGTTTACTCAATCAAGCCCTCATTATCTCCGACGCAATCTATTATTTTAAGTTTGCCTTTTGCAGCATGTGAAGGGCAACCTGTTATTCGCATAGCGTTGGCGGGGCTTGACAGTTGCGCCCCAGCAACCAACCTAATCTGGAAGTCCAGTAAACACGGCCAGCCCAAACTCTATGCCAGCATCATCACCGAATCGGACCCCGCCAAAAACTGTCCCTGGTCACTCACGTCACTGCATCTGCTATCTGCATCAGTTAGAATCGTAGGCTTCTCTTCTAGCCTCAAGCCCGTCACTAGAGACTTTCCCGTCTCTCCTAGCCTGTACGCAAGCTCACCTCAAGTGCTACCCCTCCCGCCAACGGCCCGATTGCCATGCTAACCGTTGGAATGCAGTCTCACGAACGCTACTTGCCCGTCCGACGACGCTACACAGCCCCGGCTGGCCTCGCTCACGATGGCTCAGTTTCTCACCACAGTGTTAGTCTTCCGCTCTGTTTTCTATTGCCTTTATGCCCCTGCCCAATCCTTCCAACGCATACCAACAACATGGCCATGATTGCCCGGCTCTTGACGAGTCGCTCCCACAGTGCCATTGCACGGCTGCAAACCGCCGCCGCGGCTGTCTGCGAAGATTCGCCGGATGTATCGCTAGCTGCGTGTGGCCAGAGCGTCTGCAGCGAGACTTCGATGGCTAACACGAGGACTGCCCAACTTAGCAACCAGCGCGCAAAGAACCAATTCCGGCCCCGCGTCGGCAAGGGCGGTGCTACCAGCTACCAGCTGCGCCAGTACGCCGAAGTGACCCTTGGTGGAGGCAGCCTCCGCAAGGTGGTCAAGCTTCCCGAGGGCGAAGACGAGAATGAGTGGCTTGCGGTCAACAGTAAGATGCCTTCTAGCCCCTGTGAGTGTGTGTAGAGGTTGGCGCTAATGTCAGGCAGTGGTCGACTTTTACAACCAGATCAACCTGCTCTATGGAGCTATCACCGAGTTCTGCTCCCCGCAGTCGTGCCCGGAGATGAAGGCTACTGACGAGTACGTTGCCAGTAAGCGTTAAAGCGAGTCAGCTTTGGCTAATGAGCACAGATTCGAATACCTCTGGCAAGACAACGACAACTATAAGAAGCCCACAAAGATGGCGGCACCTGCATATATTGAGCAGTTGATGACCTGGGTACAGGCGAATATTGACAACGAACAGGTGCTGCCGAGCAAAATTGGTAAGCCTTCGACGGCGCTCTCGCTGTCCACCTGACCAAGACCGTGGCTGACCGATTCCGTTGGCAGGCGTTCCGTTCCCCAAGTCGTTCCCAGCCCTCGTCCGCCAAATCTTCAAGCGCATGTACCGTGTTTACGCACATATTTACTGCCACCACTACCCAGTCATTCGCGAACTCGGCCTCGAGCCACATCTCAACACAAGCTTCAAGCAATACGTCCTCTTTATCGACGAGCACAGCCTCGCCAGCGGCCGCGACTACTGGGGTCCACTAGGAGACTTGGTTGACAGCATGCTGAAGAGCGATTAGGACATGGATGGGAAATACCTGCAGTATCATTTAGCGTTGGCAGTCGTGGACTGTGGTTTGAATGGTTGGAAAGTCACTGAATGGCGTTTTTCGGTTGAATTATGATATTGGCACGAGAGCGTAAAGCTGTTATTTGCCGGCCCGGTTGTTTATTTTGCATGGTATAAAAGCTTCAATAATGAATTGCATTGTAATCAATTTTTTGCTCGCAACTATGACTGCCAAATGCGATGTTATCAGTTGAAGGTTGTGTCCTGTGCAGTCTAACAATCATTGGTGTAGTTATTATACTTCAATAAGCATCGGTGCATCTCGTTCAGAGATGAACAGCGCTTCACCGCAACCGGGCGAATGGTTTAGTGGTATAATACTCCCTTAGCATCTGCTGTACAGCGGATACCACGATTGGGAGTGGTCCGGGGTTCGATTCCCCGTTTGTCCATCACTTGCTCGAAGCGTTTCTTTTTTGCCTCTTCAGAGTTTTTATTTTTTTGCTTGCACACCCATCAACTATAAATAATTCTCAACGAAACTAAATCTAGTTGAACTCTGTCTGTCTGTCTGTCTTACTCTTTCAAGTTGTTTGTGTCTGTTCTTGGTCGTTGCATTCTGTCGACGAAAATACGCGGGTGTCATCGGATTACCTAACCCGGGTTGATGCCTGGCCAGGCACCCAGATTCCGAAATTGCCGGAGGAACACACTCGACAAGCACCAAAAGCTCTCACAATTCCTCCACGTCTCACGCCCTGCTGTTACTTCCCCAACACCCTTCCCCCCGGGTATCTCGACGCAAAAACCTGTCAATTCGTTCTCCTTTTCCGATCCTTCGCCATGTTTTCCCGCCAGGTCCTTCGCGCCGCCCGCGTCGCCGCTCCCCGCCGCCTCGTCGCCGCTTCCCCCGTGCGCACTTTTGCCGCGGCCGCCGCCAACGACGTCAAGCCCCCCGTGCAGGTCTTTGGTGTTGATGGCACTTACGCCACCGCTCTCGTACGTCTACCCCATCAATCATCCCCGCGAGCAAAACAATTCTCCTCGTTGAGTCTCCGAGGTCACCTTTCTCTGATGCAATTTGGAATGCTGCTGGTGCGCAGAGAACAACCTTATACCGCGCACCTTGCCATTGAAGTTTAGCCCGCCTCGGAGATGGAGCACATGAATGTTGGGAAAGAAGCTTGAGACAGGCTAGCTAACGGGGAATAATTGTAGTACACTGCTGCCGCCAAGTCGTCGACTCTCGACCCGACCGCCAAGGCCCTCGCCGCGCTCGGCGCCATTACCGACAAGGACCCCAAGCTCAACAGCATTCTCGCCGCCCCGACCTTGAGCGCCGAGGACAAGTCGGCCATTGTTGCCGAGCTTATCAAGCAGGCCGGTGGCGGCGGCGCCACCGTCAAGAACTTCCTCGAGACGCTGGCTGAGAACAACCGTCTTGGCCTCCTCCAGGGCGTCTGCCACAAGTTCAACCAGATCATCTCGGCGTCTCGCGGTGAGGTCGAGATGACCGTCACCTCTGCCCAGGTACGATTTACATCACCAGAGAAATAGAGAGAGGGGGAGAAGCAGAGGCGAACCTCTACGTGAAAGAAAAAGAATCAATGCTAACCCAGGTGCTCCTGCCCCCCAGCCCCTCGACAACAAGACCCTCGCCAAGCTCGAGACCGCCGTTAGCAAGTCTCCGTACGTCGGCGCCGGCAAGAAGCTCAAGGTCACCAACGAGGTCAACTCGGACATTATCGGCGGCCTCGTCGTCGAGGTCGGCGACCGCACCATCGATCTCTCCGTCTCCTCGCGCATCGCCAAGATGAACAAGGTCCTCACGGACAGCCTGTAAATCAATCAATTTCCGCACAGGAAGTTTCAAAACCACGCCATGAACCCACTGCATCTTATACGCCCGTCGTCGACCATTCTTTGGCATTCCCGGATACGCACACACACATACACACACAACTACGCGCACTGATCGACTGAGCGGAAACCAGGTTTTGAAGCGGTCTCTGGTGTTTTACGATTGTTCACATCGACCGTATGAGGGGAGCAAAGGGAAGAATGAAGAATGGGAGATTTCGGGACAGTGAAAATGGGATCGCAAGAAGGACAAATTTCTTTCGTGCCCCATGATTGCTTTTTCTTTGTTAACACCACAAACAACTTGTTTTTTTGGACGGAGCCCTCGGCCGTTGGGGGATGTTTCTGTCGTGTATGAAAGCTGTCGATATAGCATGGAGATGGCTTGCATGTGAAATAGAAGACAAAAATTTTCCATCTCGTTTGCTCGTCAAAAGCTGCTGTGAGGTTGCAACACTCTTATATAACGTAGTTGAGTGGTTGGGCAACGGGCTTTGCGATGTGCTCAATGTTAAAATTCGCAACGTCTAGTTCGGTGAATATCGAGCGATGGGAAACGCACAAGACTTTTTTCTTTATCTTATTCTATCAACTCTAAAGATGCTCCCGTATAATGCATGTACTTGATTGAAACCGTGTGCCTCGCCCAACTCTCCAATCCCAACGTGACATCCCGTAGCTTGGTTTTCTCCATGTCAATGATCACCGCCGCTGCCGCTGCCGTGGCCGTTTCCGTTGCCATTAGCAGACGTCTCAAACTCGTCTGCGTGTGAGAAGCGGTCATGCATCTCGCTCTTGTAGCGGCTCAGCTGGTCCGAGATGTAGGCGTGCATATGGGCGTCGGCCTCAGTCTTGTCACGGTCGGCGGCGGCGGCGGCACCGTGGGTCAGGACAATGCCGTCCGAGACGGACGCGCCGTCGGAGCGGGCGTCGTCGTTGGCTTCGTCAAAGACAAAGTCGCTGCGGGCGCCAATGGAGCGCGCCGTCGAGGAGCGGCGGATGCGGTGCATGCGCGGAGACTGCGGGACGCCGACGTCGACGCTGCGCTGGAACATGTCGTCAAAGTAGTGCGACATGGCGGCGGACGGCGTGCGCGGCGTCTGTGGGAGACGACAGCTAACACTATTTGGCAGTTAGTTTCGACAGTGTTTCACGGCAAGTTATAGTATGAAGAAGCTTACCCAGTGTCGTGAATCATTCGTGCAATGAGGCCGGTCCAGCCCGTCTGATGGCTGGCACCGAGACCACGTCCAGTGTCACCGTCAAAGAACTCATGGAACCAGAGATAGTCTTTCCAGTTCTCGTCAAAGTCGAGCATGTCGTTACCGGCATTGACGCTCCTCCTGCCATCGTCTGTGCGAGCAAACAAGTGCTGCAGGCGATGCTGAATCTCCTCAGACACTTTGCCCAGATGCATGTAGTCGCCGCTGCCAGTCGGACACTCGACCTGAAACTCAGGTCCGTAGAAGAGATAGAATCTTTGCAAAGACTCGACCAAGAGAAAGTTGACGCACAGCCAGATGGGGCCTCTCCAGTTGCTATTGCCGCCAAAGAGGCCGCTATCCGAGTCGCCAGGGACGTAGCCAACCTCAAAGATTTGCCCGTTGACGTTCATGGAGAAAGGGTGGTCTTTGTGGAATTTGGACAGCGACCGTACGCCGTGGTCGCTGAAGAATTCGTCCTCGTCTAGCATGCGTTTTAGAATCTTCTCCAAGCGATCCTTACTGACGATTGAGAGAAGAATTCTGTTGCCCTTTCCTCTCTTTCTGATGCTCGCCATGTTTCGCTCGGCGACGTCCAGTCGGTTGTGGATGAACCATTCGACACGCTTACGAAACGACGGCAGCATATTCATGAGCTCTGGCTCCAGCGTCGTCGTGGCATATAACGGAATGAGCCCAACCAGTGAATGGACGGGCAGCTGCTGAATGTGCGGGCCGCCATAAGAAATGGCGTCGTAGTAAAAGCCGTCTTCGTCGTTCCACAAAGACTGCTCATTCTTGTTGCCTTCCCTAAAGGTCATGGCATCGCTGATAAGGATGAAGTGCTCAAAGAACTTGGACGCAATGTCTTCGTAAATGCGACGATGCTTGGCTAGCTCCAGAGCAATGTTGAGCATGGACAAGCAAAAGAATGCCATCCAGCCGGTGCTGTCTGCCTGCTCCAGCACACCGCCTGTAGGCAGAGGCTCTGAACGATTGAACAAACCAATGTTGTCGAGGCCAAGGAAACCGCCCGCAAAGACATTTTTGCCTTCGGTGTCTTTTCGATTTACCCACCAGGTGAAGTTGATCAGCAGTTTTTGGAATATGCGTTCCAAAAAGTCCAAGTCCTGGCGACCATAGAGTTTTCGCTCGATCTTGAATGCACGGAACGTGGCCCAAGCGTGGACGGGAGGGTTCACATCGCTGAAATTCCATTCATATCTGAGCGCGGTTAGCATCTTCGGAAATGAAAATTGTCGGAGAGATCTTACGCTGGTAATTGGCCATTGGGATGGCAGTACCATTCTCTGGTGAAAAGATCAAGCTGCTTCTTGGCAAAATCGGGGTCTATCATGGCCAAGGGGATACAGTGGAAGGCGCTGTCCCAGGCGGCGAAGAATGGATATTCCCATGAGTCTGGCATGGACAAGATGTCGTCGCAATGCATATGACGCCATTGAGTGTTGCGAATTGATTTTCTTTCTGGTGGAGGTGGAGGCGTCGCGGGATCACCATTGGCCCATTGATCCCAGATGAAGAGATAATGTTGTTTTGTCCACATCATGCCAGAGAAGGCCTGTCGCTGGATGCTTCTCAAGTCGTCTGTCATGGGCAGCGGGCTTAGACGATAGTAGAACTCGTCGGCCTCCTGTTTACGCTTTTCAATCACATTGTCGAATTCCTCCTCATCTAGATAGCTCTGTTCTTTCTTGGAAAAGCGAAAGCGAACCACTATATGCCATTAATTATCTGTCACATATACACTTTTGGGGTGCATGACTTACCTGCACATTCACCCGGGTTCACACCACCGTCTTCGTTGAAACTGAACCAGGCAGCACATTTCGTACCATTTCGCGCAGGGTTGACGGCGTCCTTCTCTCCATTCACAATATAGCGATGGAACCCGTCCTTGACATAGGGCTGTGTGTTCTTCTGGTCATACAAGATCTTGACGTTTGTGTCATTCTCAGTGAAAAGCAGCTCTGGAAGAACATCTTCACCAGTCGAACCAACACCAGGAGAGGGCGAGAGAGTCAGGTGTCTTTGGCCGAGGCTCCAGTGATTGGACGAGGCAGAGAGCTCGGAATTGGCGGTCACGATGGGCTTCTTCTCTGGCGGCTCGATACCCCAGCTCCATGTGTTGCGGAACCAGACTTGGGGGATAATGTGAAGAGGGGCAGGATCAGGTCCACGATTCCAAGCTGTGACTCGGAATAAGAGCTCATCGGGGTCATTTTCTTCCTTTGCTGTCTCAATGAAAATGTCCCAGTAGCGGTCCTCGTCGAAGACACCGGTGTCGATGATTTGGTATTCCTTGTCTTGTTTCGATCGCCTCGCATTTTCCTTGATGAGATCTTCGTAGGGAAAAGCTTTCTGGGGATATTTGTAAAGAAATTTCATATAGGAATGCTGCCAATTGTTAGCGACAAAGGCGAGAAAGCCACTCGTGTATGAGAATCATACAGTCTAGAGGCCACTAGTTAGCTTTTTGCAACGGCAATTAGGAGTGAGCGGGCATACAGGTGTATTGTCAACATGAAAATGAGCTTCCTTGACGCTTTCGCCGTGATTACCCTGAGGATTGGAGAGGCCAAATAGACGTTCCTTCAAGAAGTCGCTGCAGCGCGTTAATATGTCGATACGTGTGAATGACTGGAAGACGAGTATCATACTCTTTTTCGTTCCAGAAGCTAAATCCAATATTTTGCCAGCCATGTGTATCTGATACACCGGCGATGCCGTCTTCACCCCAGCGAAAGGCTCGCGACCGGGCATGTTCGTGCGGAAAATCTGGAGATGGTTAGATCGAATACGCGGTAGAGGGAGAATCGGTTGCAAAGGGCACACATACGACTCCAGGCATCACCATCGTGGCTGTAATCCTCTCGGACTTTGATGAGTATTAGAGACTGCAATTAATTTGTTGAAGGAGGCCGGTGGTGGCATACCGGTAGCCCACTGTCGTTCAGCGACATAGGGTCCCCATTTCTTCCAGTAGCGCTGGCGCTCGCGATCCTCCTTGAGACGGCGCTCTTCCTCGGTGAGATACTCGTGACCGTCAAAAACAACCATGGTGCCGTGCAGCAGGAGCCAATCAGTACGAATGGCAATGTGCTGGAGGGAAGCTCGAGTAGAAAAACTAGAGGCGAGAAGAGTGGTCGTGTACGGAGTAGTACCCAGGTGGTTGCGGCTTATCGAAGTGGCGGGGCAACTTTGTACGGTGATCTGTCGAGCTAATGGGGTACAGCCAGTGGGGTGTGGCCGATAGCGAAGCGCCTTGCCCGTACCTGGGGAGGTTGGAGGGCTGGCTACCTAGTTGTTGGCAAGACTAAGAAATCTGAAAATTGTGCTCGGTGCGCAAATTCAACAATGAATAGGGATTCGTGGACTTGTGCTGCTTATACTGCGATTACAAATCTTTCCACATGTCGCCAACAATCTGTAAATACAAGCCTTGCTTGACTGTCGAGTTCCACCAGACAATCGATGACGGTGCAGCCGCCCGAAGCAGGCGGATACAGGCGCTGTACGCCTCTGCTGAGTGGTGGCCGGGTGCAGATGGGACCACTGTATCTACAGGGGCGCAGGGGAATGGCAAAGCTATGATTTTCAGCCTCTTATTAGAACGGCTATTAATTCCATAAATTACTCTTCCTTTTTTTCAATGCAATAGTTGTTATTTATGGGTTCATTGTCAAATAGTGTTGCGTACATCCTACTGTGCCTAGTTACCTAGCACACCTAACTAGGTAGTTAGACAGATGAGCCTCATGCCTGACAAAGCCTCTAGCTGGCACCCTGTGCTACGCTTCTGGCACAACATGCTACCCTACCAGTCACAGCATGCAGCAGCGCTGCAGCGCTTCTAACGACATGTCTCGGGTGACATGTCTCGTTCAAGCCATTTATCCCTGGCTCACGTCCTTCGATTGTGAATTTACTTGCTAATTCATAATATCATCGCAAGTAAAAGTGGCAGTTTGACCGTTGGCAGCCCGCAATCTGATCAGGCCTAGCGCTCACTCGCCATGGCCCGTTGCGGCACCGCCTCACCTGTCTGCCTGTGTGGCTTGGTTCCCGGAATTCGTAGGCTGGCTTGTGAAAACCTTCAGCTTCGCCACTGGTTGTCGTGGCTTCATCTCGTCACCCTTCGTCATAACTTTCCTTGCCACCACTTTTTCAGGCCACCATGATCGGCGCGTCTTTTATTTTCCTCTGTATCTAATCAATCTTTGCGTCTGCGGTAGTTTTCCCGGCGCCATTCTCCTACATCATTGTCCTCCGCCATCATTCTCCCTAATTCCTCTCTAGCCGCCGGCTACGTCCGCAACAATTCAACCGCCGACCACCATGGCCAGCACCGTGTCGCTACTGCGCAAGCTGATCCTCGAGTCTCCCCCGGGAGAATGGGCCATTAACCAGCTGCGCGAACTCTTGATTGGCTCTCTGAAGCAGGGCCCGGTCCCCCAGCATGTCGCCTTTGAAATGGATGGCAACCGACGTTACGCTCGAACTCATCGAATGGAAACTGTCGAGGGCCACCACCGCGGCTTCGAAGCACTCGCCAGGGTCAGTCTTTCACATGACTGTTTACTGCTGCAGCTTCAATCAACTCGGCTAATTCTCCTCTCAGATAATGGAAATTTGTTACAAGTGTGGCGTCAAGGTCGTCACCGTATATGCATTTAGCATTGAAAACTTTAACCGACCCAAGTATGAGGTCGAAGGCCTCATGCAGCTTGCCAAGGTTAAACTTGAGCAGCTCACTACCTATGGAGATATCCTCGACCGCTACGGCGCATCCGTGCGTGTTCTCGGCCAGCGCGATATGATTCGCGACGATGTCCTGCAAGTAGTTGACAAGGCCGTTGCCCGAACAAAGCACAACAACAAGTATGCTACCATTACTACCGGTTCTCTGACAATACTTTATTCTAATCAATGGGCAGGGCTGTGCTAAACATCTGCTTTCCCTACACCTCCCGAGCCGAAATCACTACCGCTATCCGCGAGACTGTCCAAGATTTTCTCACTCCCCCTCCGCCCAAAAATACACCATTTTCGCCTTCGCGCATTCGACAAAAGGTTCTCTCTTCCCAGTACGACGATCGCGACACGCTTCCCACCATTCGCGATGCCTCGCCAGACGACCGTACCGAGGGCGACAAGGACGTAGACGGCGACACGGGCGACTCCTCATCGACTCTGTTGCCCGACTCACCTCAGCCCCGCCATCGCGCGAGGAAAAGCTCCGTTGACTTGTCGACACTTCCCAATCCCGACACCATCACGGCCGATACTCTAGACAGCCACATGTACACTGCAACCGATCCGCCTCTGGACGTCTTTGTCCGCACCAGTGGTGTGGAGCGTCTTAGCGACTTTATGCTTTGGCAATGCCATCAGGATACACACATTTTTTTCCTCAAGTGCTTCTGGCCAGACTTTGACCTGCAGCACTTCGTCTTTGTTCTGCTTGAGTGGCAGTGGAGGCAGAAGCAGAAGGCGAGGGATGGCTCGGGGCCGACTAAGAGCAACAAGGCGCGCCGGGCGCTCGAATAAGCATGCAAGAATTATACCCGAAGCGTGACGTTGACAGTGCAGCTAGCATAGATGAGCTGAAACATGTACCTAGTTTCGATTTGGCCAAGTTATTTCACATTTTGTTTGCAATTGTACACATTTACATTCGAGAGTTTCCTGTATAGAGAGGGTCGAATGCCGCATTCCTCGCCGACTAGGAGTGCCTAGCTCTTGCAACTCGGCTTTTATCGTTCACTCGATCGTGCTCATTGAATATTGTGCATTTCGTCGAAAAGCAGCAAAGTGAGAGCATCTTGCCTCGCCAGAGTCCAGCCACAGCCAGACCAGCTCGGCTTCCCGCGGTCGGGTTGGTGGGGATTGTTTTTTAGCAGTACGCTGGCTGGAAACTATTTAGGTTCAGTGGTACCTCGCTGCATCTTCCCCAGCGCGTTCCCCGGTATTATCGATTGTAGGTACATGTCATTGTACTTTCCAGCTGAAGACTCAGACGAAAAGTACCTGCCCGCTACCTGAATTTTAAGCCGCTGCCAGCAGTCGCTGCGCCTGCCGCCAAATTTCGCGAGCGAGCTTCGCACACGCCGCCGTCATCGCATCCTCTCATTTCTTTCGCTCCCACAACCACCACCACACCTTGTCCAGCTCTTGCAGCGTCGTCCTGCCAGCCATGACCTAGGGCATCTCTCATCCAAGGTTACATCTTCTCTGCAGCCCACAACTGCCACTTTACAGCCTTTGTTGCCCACCGCACCTCTCGCTCGGTCGCTCTCTCCATCGTCTCTTGTCCTCGATTTACCGCCCGAAACCACCGCCTCAGCGACGGCATTCTTCGCAATGAAGTCGACCAAGCCTGTACAGGCCGAGGCCTCTTCGCATCGCAGGTCGCAACCTGTCCGACAGACTCGCACGAATCCCCCGCGAAGCTCCATCAATGCCGGCCGCCTGGGCGCCAGAGAGCCCGCCTCTGGCCCGGTCGGCGACCAACCCATCGACATATACCCTGCAATCACACACTTTGCGGATACAATGACTGCTCTTCCGAAAGAGTTGGTCCGTCACTTTACACTTCTCAAGGAGGTTGACGCCAAAATCTTCGCTCCCCAAGAGCACCTCTTCAAACTCGTCTCCGCCGCCACGCAGGCCTCTCTTCTCGGCGCCAACAGTAACAATGAAGCTGCCAGCTCTGTTGCGCCTGCTTCTGCGCCAATGAGCGCACAAGGCAGTTCGACTGGCGCTGCTCAATCCAACCCTTTGGCACCAGCCTCGGCCGACGAACCCAGCACCGCTTCCGGTGTCTTTGATCCGGTCAACATTCCTCGCCGACAGCTGTTTCGTCAAACAGCTTTCAAAATACAAGAAATGCTGGTCTCTCTCGAAGAGAAGAACCATGTCATATCGACCGCCAATGAGGCTCTTCAGCACCAACTGGCTCGCGTGGAGGATGTCTGGCCCTACCTCGAAAACGAGTTTAGCGACGAGGCGAAATGGGGTAGCGCAACGCATTGGGCATACCCTGAAAATCGAGGCGGCAAAGCCAACTTTGAGAGAGCTCGACGCGATGGTGCTGCTGCTATCTCTGCCGCTGCTCAAGCCTTGGCCGACGAGGCTGCGGCTCGGAGCGATGCCAGGAAACAAGCTGTCCAGGCCAAAAAGAACATGAGAAATGCTAATCACGGCGCTGATATGGATGCCCCACGTGAGAAGAAGCCGTCGAGTAAAGCTAGAAAAGCTGAAGATGGCGATCATGTTGGTCTTGGTATCTCTGGTACCGCTAATGGAAATCCCCAAAAGAGGCGTAAGACTGAAAAGGCAGCTCCCGGAGGTACTCCTATGGAGAGAACAATAAGCTCGGCTCTCGGTAGTACAGCTTCCAAAGTCAAAGGCAGTAGCCCAAGGATAACTCCAGCTCCTGAGGGAGCCAAGAAGCGTCGCGCTCTACCAACTGGAAGCGCACCTGCCAAGAAAAAGTACACTCAGAACCGACCTCGCTTCACGTTGAACCCGCTAACAAACTATGCAGGCCCGCTGCTCCTGGCAAAACTCCGTCCACGACATCCTCGCCGATTGTTAACAATATCTCCGAACCAAAGACTGGGGCATCACCAGCACCCACAAGCGCCCCTCGACCCGCATCCTCACGAGCCCGTCAAAATTCCGTCAACTCTACCTCGGAGAACGGCAAGGCTCGTCGCCCATCTGTCACAGCCAAAGTCACAAACGGCAACACTGCGGACAAGCCCGATGTCGTTTTGGAGAAAACTGCAACCATTACAGAAGTTCCTCTACCCATCAAGAGCGAGCTCGGCAAAAAAGATGGCGAGAAGCAGGAGGGCAACATTGCAGCTGTCCCCACAGCCAACAAGAAAGAGTCACGGGTGGAACCACCTGAGATCAAAGCCGAGACGACGCCAACATTGCCGCAGCCTGCCACAGTTACTACCAAGAGTGGCAGAGCAAGCAAACCATCCACTCCAGCGCTCGCTACATTCCAGGACGCTGCTGCTGCTCGAGCTTCGAGAACGCGGAATGAGGGCACCAAGAAGTCTCACCGAAAAAGCGGCACAACCCATCTTGTTGCACAGCAGGCGGCCGATGATGACGCAACTAGCAGTATGCAAGACGAGGATGAAGGCGACATTGATGGCGATGAGCCAACCTATTGCTACTGCAATAGCGTTAGTTATGGCGAAATGGTTGCCTGTGACTCCGATGACTGCGAGCGTGAATGGTTCCATCTGGATTGCGTTGGCCTCAAGGTTGCCCCCGGTTCCAAGAGTATGTTTACCACGCTTATTTTGATATTCTTGGTGTAACTAACCATATCTTTAGCAAAATGGTATTGCGAAGACTGCAAAGAGCGACTCAGATTAGCTGGTAAAAAGGTCAGTACCCGGTAAAGAATCGGGCGCCGCAGCAAAGCCGAACGGAGGCGCTGAGTGCTGCCTTGAGAAACGAACTACTCGGACTGGTACAAGTGACGTCTTTTCGAGCAAATGAGCATGGATAACACAAGGCGTTTATGGGATTGCAATTGCAGGAGTCTTTTGCTTTGGTATCGTAGAGGCTCTCTTTCCTCATCAGTTGGCAGTATAGGATTCAACTTTGAGCAGGCTTGTAACTGAATATTTTTGTTGGCTCGGTCAACCGGAACATAGCATACATGTTTGAATATGATGATTTTGTACGGGTTTCGGCGGCGTTGAGCAGCGATAAGCTGGCGGGTGCATGCACAGGATATAACTTGATATTGGACATGAGTCCCATCACATCCCTGAGGTTTTGTTCCTAGACTCATCAAGCACCAGAGAAAGAGTTTTTCATACATATCAGGCACGCCTATTGCCATTCCGAAGCATGTCTTACAGAAGTGCGAGACACAATTCTTCAATCAACTCAAGGGTAGCGCCGCGAAGCTACGAAATCGACAGTGGAGTTACTGTTTGATCGAAATAGTGGGGGCGGGGAACAACCGCCACTCTGAAGAAAACCGTTCTAGGGCGGTGACTCGGATGACTAAGGCGGCAGAAAAAAAAAGTAGCAGAGACTCAGTAGTTATGGATAACTGCCTTGCCGGCGGCGGCGAGGAGCACACTCTAGAAGCGAAAAATCCAGGTTGGAAACAGGAAGACGGCCGAGAAGCAGAAAAGATGCGGTATGTGAAAACTTGTGGGAATTGATACTTCAATCTCGAACATATCGCAATCAGGGTCCTACCGGAATAGCATCGTGCTGACTGACTGTTTATAGTATCGAAGATTGCTCGTTCTGCGGACGACCCTCGTACCCGTCCAAGGGTATTACCTTTGTACGAAATGACGGTAAGAAATAGAAACTGGCACTCTTGCCTAGCAAATTCGCTCTACAGGAAAGCGAACAACACGGCCAAAAACCGCACACATTCAAAAGCGTAGCGTCGCTGACTCGGCGCCCTTCTTCGTCTTTAGGAAAATCATTCCGCTTCTGCCGCTCCAAGTGCCACCGCAACTTCAAGATGAAGCGCAACCCGCGCAAGCTCAAGTGGACCAAGGCATACCGGCGCAACGCCGGCAAGGAAATGGTCGTCGACGGGACCCTCCTCTTCGGCCAGCGCCGCAACGAGCCCGTCCGGTACGACCGCGACCTCGTGCAGCGCACTCTCACCGCCATGCAGCGCGTTTCAGAGATTCGGCAGCGCCGCGAGCGCGTCTTTTACAAGCGCCGCATGGCCGGCAAGCGCGCGCGCGAGCTCGCGTCCGCGCGCAAGCTCGTCGCCGAGAACGAGCACCTGCTGCCGCGCATGCGCGGCAGCGAGAAGAAGCGCCTGGAGGAGATGGCGGCGGCCGGAGAGGAGGTGGACATCGAGGCCGAGGAGATGGCGGCGACGAGAACGTACAAGACAAAGGCGTTTGGGCAGGAGAAGCGCAGGCTGCGCGTGCGCGCGGACGGCGAGGTCGAGGAAGCCATGGACTTGGATTAGGCGATGCAGTGACGAGATGGTATGCAATGGCGGGCGGGAGGAAAGGAAAACGGGCAAGAGAGAAAAAGGTTCATCAAAAGCACATCTTGGATTGCGAAGAGGAGAAATCGAAAAAAAAACGGGAGCATACCGTGGAGCAAAGCTGGCGACATCGAAAATCGAGGGACACACGACCGACACGTCCTATTTGGAGTCTTTTTGTGTTTGTTACAGAAAGCTGTTTGGGATTTCTGGATGGGTTACGTTTTACATTTTGCGTTTTTGCGGATTTTACATATACACATTTTCGGCCTGCTTCTTCGTTTCGTGTCTCGGATCTCAACGAGACAGGAAAAAAAAAAGAGCACATGGGATTACGTTTTGCTATAGGAGCGAGATGGTAAACATATATCATCTAGGTCACTGAAAGACATGAATCGATTCACACAACGAAGCACATCAGTTGCATGGCCACTAGGCTGTTTAATGCCGCCGCTTTTTAACAGGAGTGATGAGTCGCTGGCCGCGCCCGTTCATGACGTCGTGCCAGCCGCTTGATACAGAAAGCGCTGTATGATATGTCGAAAGGGCATGACGGCGACGAATCGTGCTGATGCAGGCCTTTTCTTCATTGTGAGCCCTTCATTGGCGCGGTGGGCGTTGACTACAAAACAATGACAGACAGACATGCGCGCTGTCAGAGCCGGCCAAATACAGCTCGTAGTAGTGGAAACCCAGCGAATTCAAGATCTACAAGAAGAAGACCACTGCCTGCTGGAGACGACGTCGCGCAGTCCCGATTGCAAATGGCAGTGCTTCTGTTCGGGGGCTATTGCTCTACATTTCTTTAGACGCCTTAGCTGTATCGGAGTCTCAATGTTGTTCGTTCTAGTATTGACTTAAGAAGTGGCCATGCGGTGAAGAAATTGGCAACTGACATATGATTACAATCTGTCCCGATATGCAACTGCGAGGACTAACGACGTATCAGCTTCACGCTCCTGTAAGGGTCGTATTATTTTGAGGCTGTCTTTGCTTGCAACTGATTGTTAATCTGATGGAGCACCAATATCAGCACCACTGGCCAGAACAGTCTAAACGACTTTAGAATTCCAGTTACATTAGGCAGAAAGTAGTGCTAGAATGGCGATATTGAGTGCAGTGGTGCCACGCTCATTGGGCATCATGCCATGTCGAAATGGCCGACGTAGATAATCGACGTAGATAATTCTTGTAGCACCGTGCTCCTCAAGTGCATACTTTTGTCCTCATTTTTACAGTGACCACCCTTTTGCATGAAATTGACAGCCTCGAATATATTGAACAGTCCTGCGTAATAGAGTGGTCGGCAAATGACCAGGGTTGATCATCTGGTGAGTCTAATCAATTACGCCAACGACTCTGAAGAATTGCATTGCATTGCAGAACAATTTGGTCGTATCAGGGATGGAAGCATGCGGCCACCACTTATCGGCAGCATCATCGTGGGATGATCGGTAGACAGGGTGAGAATCGGTACCAAGCTCTGTCCAAACACGGGGGCATGCTGATATAGTGCAAGCACTTTATAACCAGCTTTGCTATTCAGAGAGCTAGTCTATGTCGCTTTGTTCATCTGCAGTGTGCCCTGCAAAGCTGACCAGTACCCGAGTCTACAAAACTGGAAGCGCAGGCCCCACGTCATCTTGACAGCAGGCAGTGTAAGTTTTTTGTCAACGATTCTCGGACGAGAAGTCACGCTACAGCACAGTCCAAGGACCTTTACAAGCTGAATCAGCGATCCTAGAAGCCGTACAGTGATTGTAAGCTAGGTCACGTCGAAAGGTTTGACTATTTTACGTACAAGATCAAGGGGCCCGGCAACTACGCTCTCCGCCGCGCCATCACGGCAACCAGTCCAGCTAGCCAAGGGCACAACATCCTCGCTTAATTTAAGAGTTGAAGGGGTTTTATTAGTTGTTGCTTTGCGGGGTGCATAAGTTCCAAATATGGCCGCACACGCCTCAGGGCTAGCCGGATCTCGTAGATTTTTTCGTGTCGTGGGAATCAATTACCTAACAGGATGCTACTTTTTACGCCAGAATGAGGGGTAGTGCAGCAATCGTGGGTCATTGACAATAAGCCACATGCTTAGCAAATCCAGCTATTTGGGTGTTACTATCAGCCGTTATTATTGACTGTTGCGTGTGAGTTGTCCAAGTGGGTGCCGTTACCGGCTTGGAGCTGACCCCGTCACCAACCCCTCACTCCCCCGCGGAGAGATAGTCGATTCTTACAGGCGGGTTCGCGCCCCTCCTCTGTGCTGGGAATTTGTGTGCAAACAAGAAGAAAAAAAGTTAGCAGTTAAAAAAACGGGGTGCGCCAAAACGGGAAATCTCTTTTCTTTTCCCAGTGTTGCATTGGGATGACGGTGCAGCAGCTAACTAGTGCGCTGGGTTAGGTACCTACCTAGACATTGTGTCCGCGCCGGAGCATGCCGATGGGGGCTTTTCGAACCAGCAAGGGGGTGGGTGTGTGGGCTAGAACTTGCGGTGCACAGACATGGGAAGAAAGTTGTAGCCATTGGCCAGTGGGATGGTGAGAAAGTTGCACCTCAATGCACAATTGTGTGTGGTCATGCGCTTTTCTTGGTGGCTTGATCCTGCGTGCATGGGCAAACAGAGTCCAGGCATGGGCAAGTTGCGGGGGGTGTACGCTGACTTTTTTTGGAGGCGGGCTAGTAGAAACCATCGTGAAGGTTGGAATGTGAAAGAAAAAAAGAGGTCTCGTGGCTAGTCCTACTTTAAAAAAACACGCCAATGTTTAGGCATAGCACGTTCAGGAGGGGTGCGGCTCGCCTGGCAGGGAGAGGAGCTGACGCCATGTGTTGCGTCGGTGAGCTGCTTTCTGTCATCAGTCGTGCAACTGACGGCTGTACTGTCGTGCGTGCTCGGAAACAAGAAACGCATAATACAGGTCACAGATGACAGGAAACGTCGATGAGAGGCGCAACCCGCCCTGCCCACGGAGCCAAACTCGGCTGCAGCTTGCAGAAAACGTGCGCTACGGGCTAGAGGCCTAGAAACCGGGCCTACTGCACAGTTCGTATAGCCATCAACGTGACTGGACGGCGGCGCCTTGGGGCTGGGTCGGTGCCGTCAGCTAAGGTAGTGAGTGTGTGATTGTAGAGTAATTAACGTTAGTTGATTGTGGTCTCCGAGGCTTCCGCTTGGTTGCTTGGTGTGAGTCGTGAGTCGACAAACTTGCCGTAGATATCAATGTATGTATGATTACGGGATTAGAGAACTCATTGAGAGAGTTTGAGAAGAAAGTCGTCGTGAAGCAAATGCAGGAACTGCATCTCGTCAGTTGGCTTGTTAACGGTTCGTGATGGAAAATATGGCTGAAGAGACGATTGCCTTCATTACGGGCGCCCATACTTCCTGAAGCTGCTCGGCAGCTTCGACACTCGATTCCGAGTTCTCCGTGATGACAAGCGTGATTGTGGTGAGTCAGATGGACGTCTCGAGCGACGAGGCCATCGATGCTGCTTATGAGACGGTCGAGGCCAGGCCAGGCTATCTTGACGTGCTGGTGAATAATGACAGTACGTCTTTAGTGTTTTAGGATTGACTTACTAGGATGCATTTGACGTTCATCAGGACATTAGGCCAACCACTGGAAATGAGAATGTTCAAGAGCGAGTACACGATGCGCAAGGCGTGGAACCAAATGTACGATGTCCACTTCACGGGCACCCAGATTCTCACTCACACCTTTGTGCCGCTGCTCCTCCAATTCAGGATCCAGGATGCGTGGCTTCTCTCCTTGACGAGCGGCCTCGCGCAGCTCGAGACGATGCGCCGAAGTACTTCCCGAGCCCCCCGCCGGCAGCCGGGTAGCCCAAGCAAAATGTCGTGAATTCCGGATGCGTGTTGGTCGAGCAAGACGGCTCTCAACATGACGATTTTGGCGTACCACTGGAAGTTAAAGGAGGACGGCGTCAAGGTCTGGAGCGTGTCGTCAGGATTTCTGACGACAGATCTGGGAGGCGCCAAGAAAATGTTCAGGGCGCGCGGGGTGGAGGATCCGGCGCGATTGGCGTCGTGCGATTGGAAGCGTGATTGAGGGGAAGCGGGATGGCGATGCGGGCATACCAGTAAAGCTAGACGGGTAGGGCGTGCAGTCGTTGTAGAATTACTCCGTACAGGTATAAGAGATTATCCATGTCTACATGACAGAATGCAAATCAAGTAACGGTTAGCTGCAGAGTCTTATTTTCCGGGATGCAGAATTGATGCGTGGTGCAGTGCAGCCCGACGACCCGAGGGGCCGGCGTGGCGTGGTGGTGTGGGCGCGTAACGAGGGGAAAAAGTTGGAGTAGTGAGATGGCTGATGAATGGCTGAATGAGCTAGTGCGACGTAATAGGCTAATAATGCAAGGCCTCGATCATGTCTGGGGAAAGGAAAAGATGCTCGTGGGATTGTTGAGGTTGCTGCGCGTATCGTCGTAGAGACGGCAGTTGAGATGTTGAGCTGTTGCCAAGACGAGGAGGGAACGTCTGAGTGGGAGCGAATGATGGCAATACTATTACCAGTTGAGACCCGACCCGAGACATGAGCTAATAGTTTCCATGACTAACCTGGCTTGCCTGGCTCATGTATGAGAACGACGGTGCGGTTGCTTTTGGCTGGATGATGGAGACTGGAGTGGGCGATGTGGGTGGTACCCCAAGGGCCAAGACTCGGGGCTGTGATCCGGGGTAAACAGAATGATGCCCAGTAAGCCTCGAGAGCAAACTGCAAGCTGCATCGCCCGTTTTGGACAGGGCATCTGGCTCTGTCTATTGCCCCTTGGTGATGCGTGGTGCAAAGGTGGTGCGAATGCGGCAGTGGCAGGATGACGAGGCTGCGCTATTCCAGTTTCCAACATCTCGGAACGGCTCACATGACGGCCATTGTGTTACGCGAGCATACGTAGTAGTTTCGCTGGCTGGCGCGCTGGCAACTTGGTAGGATGATGCGACACGTAGCAGAGCGGGATTGGCGACGTAGTATTCAAAGGTGAGCACAGACGGCTGCTCCCTTGAATGTCTGAGTGCTATCTAAGCTTATTATTGTCTGCTTGTTGCAGTCTTTGGCTGTTCTGTTAGAGACAAGCCGAGGAACTAGGGCGGCGCGGATACCGGGAAACGACTGAGACTGTGGTCACTGGCGTGACTCGTTGCAGTCCATGGATGAGTGATGGCGGTGGTGGTGAGAATGAGCACGAGGATGGGTAACTAGGAGAATGAGCAGGGCCTTTGAACCTTGGTGGACAGGATCATGTACCAGTAATGCTGGCTGCAACATGGCATCGTGGCAAAACGCCCCTTGCCTGGGGGGTGGAAAGATTTGGCTGCGCCCTGAAGAAGCAGCTACAAGGTTTACAAATTAAGAAAGAAGAAAGCGGAAGGATGGAAGCCCTGTGACTGCGTAATCCGCGCGTGGCGCCACCCCAGATGTTTTTGATTCATTCAATTATGACTTCACTGGTCAGGTATTTGGCGGGCTCGCAGTTCCGGGCGGCGTTAGCGGACAAGAGACGAGATGGCGGCCATTTGCGGCTTGCCACTCCACTTGTGGTTGCCTACCTACCTACCTACTCGTCTACCTCCAGTATCAGAGTAATTACTGCAGCAGTGCCTAGGTACTGTCAATAGTACCTAGGTAGTACAGCCTGGAAGCGCCTACGAGCCAATACAGACTTCGACTAAAAGATGCACTTTATTTTTTCCGAATTGCCTTTGAAATTCCATCCTACAAATAAATTCCTTGTCTTGTGCGACTGCGCAACCCCACCAAACTGCCGCCTGACCACTCAATGCATCCACCGGCCTCCACGCCGACAGCCTACCGCCTACAGGCTACTGCCCACCACCTGCAGCTCTGCAGGGGACTCCTCTCCGACTCAGAAACACGACTCGTCTTCATAAAACCACCTCCACCACCCCCAATGTCGACTTTTCTCTCTTTTTTTTCTCTACTCTTTCTCTTCTCTCTCTCATTCTTCGTTTCCGATAAACCTTCATCTGCTCGTCAGTTTTGCCATATAAGACACGCCACTTGGACACACGCTTTGCTGCCACGCTCTATACGCAGCTTCTGTCGATGCTGGTCTGCCTACCTAGGTCACTAGAGGTACACAAAGCCGAAGCTGGCCATTGCCACTTGCAGCCACTACAACTACGCCCACTCAAAGTACATCCACTCCACCACCATTACAATAAGCCTGGCAAGCCATACATAAGCCACACAATATACAAATCACACCCGCTCACCACGAACACTTCTCTTTTCCTCCTCCTTCAACATCACTTGGCTCGCCAAAGAAATCGTCAAACATCACCTCGCAGATACGTCCCGGGCAAGTCTTCCAACACATCCTGGACTCGTCTGCTCGCCCTCGCTCGAAATAGCACCATACACTCTATTCCCAAGCCGCGGACCAACACACCCCAAATTCTTTCCCGACACTTACATGGCCGTGTCTACGGGAGCCGGGCGCCGCAAGGTGTTCGACTTCGAAACTGCCATGTACTTTAAGGGCACCAGCATGGCTCGCACAATGTCCCCCTCCGCCTCCGAGGCCACCTCGCGCTCCTCCTTCTCCTCCGTCCGCGAAAACGACGACGGCTTCGCGCAGACCTTTACTCGCTCCAAAATTTCCTCCTACATCGATACCCCCGAAGATGTCTTTGACGAGTCTCCCACTGTCGAGGCCCCCCCGCCCGTCTTTCAACCGCCCATGACCCATCCCACATCCAAGCTGCACGGCTTTTGGTATCCTGCGCAGGGCTTCAAGGGTTGGAGGGAGATTCCCATCAAGGGCAAGATAGCCAGTCGCAGCTGCGAGGATTTGCACAAGCTGCACATGACCTGGGATACCCCCGCGCCTCAAGTCGAGCAGCCCCCGGCTGGCATTTATCCAACATCCACCGCGCCCCTCGAAAAGCTACCAAGCGAGATTTTGGGTATGTAAACCATTCACCCTCGAGACTTGGCTCTTGTTGCAAGCCATCTTTAGATCTCTGCTTGCCCAGTCTGCCTTGCTAACCCATCACAAGGTGCCATCATTGATCTTCTCGTCGTCGAGATTCCTCCCAATGGCCTCACCACCCGCAACACCGACCTCATGTCGCTTCTTCGCACCTCGCGCGCCATTCACGCAGCTACTCTAACCACTCTCTATCGCCACATTACCATTCCTCACTCACGCATCTTCCGCAAGTTTCTTACCACCATTACCGAGTATCCTGTCCTGGCCACCATCGTCCGCCGCCTCGATTTTAGCCACTTCAACCCTTCCATCATGTTCTCCACCGCCACCGAGCGTCTCCTGACCCAGAATCTCACCAGCGAGACTCTGTTTCACTGTCTTGCCCTGACTCCCTACATCCATGAGTTTCTAGCCCAAGAGTACATCGAGGACGATCTTGGCCCTGAAGTCCTTCGCAAGCTTTTCTACGACATGCCCAAACTTTCCGCCATCGATTTTTGCGGCTGCTCCTCTGCCGGCTTCAAGAAATCCTTCATCACCATTCTCAGCGACCACTGGCCAGAGGCCCTCACAATCACCAAGTTGTCCTTTCACAAGTGTCTGAGCCTGCCCTCGGCAGTCTTTGAGACCATACTCCCCAGAATGCCCCATGTCACTCATCTCGACCTCGCTGGAACCCGAGTTACCGACAAGGCTCTTCTATCAATTCCCGAATCTGCGAAACTGACGCACCTGAACCTTGCTAAGTGCAAGGAGCTGTCTGCCGATGTTGTCATCAAGTTCGTCACTACCCACCCGGCTACCAGGAACCTCGTTTTCCTAAGCCTCGGTGCCGACCCCAGCACTCATCTGCTTCTCGGCAAGACTGATCTTGACGCACTCCTTCCTAACCTACCACCTACCCTCAAGTCCCTCAATCTTCGAGGCAGTAGAATGGACTCTTCTCACATTGACCATCTTAGCCGCCTGTCGCAGACTCTGGAGGAGCTTGCTGTCGGTCGTGGTCTTGCTATGAGTGACATTCACCGCCTATTTTTCCGCGATCAGCAATGGCAGACTCACAACCTCAAGTACATTGACATTTGTGACGTCGAAACCATCATCGGCAGCGCTAGTACTCTGCTTGCCCCGACCTCTGCCCCTCTCCACGTTGTAGAGCTCTCGGAGCGTGCCTACGAGCGGGCCGCCAAAGTCAATAAGAATTTGCAGCGTGTTGGATGGCTGGCTCACGAATTTGGCAGCCGCTACTGGCTCAGACGTACAGAGACCGACGAGCCCAACTTTGACCACGGTCACCGCTCCTGGAAGATGGGCGCTAAAAGTTGGGGCATGCGCAAAATTCCCACCATTGTGTCCGAAGTGGGAGGCATGTATGGCTCTTACATGTTTGGTCGTCGCCTGTGAGCGCCTATCACCTTTTCACGACTCCTTCTTGCAACAAAATACCCAACTCTTACGACCTGAATGACAACAGTTGACGAAAAAAAAAAATCATATCCAGCATGTGCATCATCACCAAATAAGCGAAAAAAAAAGGCAGCATCTCTTCTCATTCATGGCACATGCGAGGCGTCTTGAATTTCGATTTGATTACTTGGAGGCTATATTTGCTCTACGGAAAGATTCTTGCCACGACAGACTGCATCGACAAAAGCGAACCCTACGAAGGCAATATTCTTCATCATAGCCACGGCGTCGATTATGTTTCATTTTCCCCATCTTGGCTGCTGCATTTATCAGGATACCCTTGAATTGAAAAGCATGGTGGCGCTGGGACTATGGCTAGCTTTTTAGATGGTAGCAACTAAATTCTTTTGAATACACTTTTTAGGATATTGCTAGAGACCCGTCTCCCTATCTCTGGTGTTGACTTGACGTATGAAACTATCGATGCCTTGCGTCAAGATTTCACGATTTAGACGCATCGGGATGATGATGAGACGTGGTAAAAAAATGTAAAGTTGTAAAAGAATTAGATGTAGTAAGTAAGCAATCATCTTGCCTTTGCCTTAATTTTTGCCTATTTGGCTCTTTAGACTTTCTTCGACGCGCCACAGTGGCGGCGAGCAAAGTGACGTCGGAATGCATCACGTGATTCAGCTTGTTAGCTCGCCGCCTGCCTCCGTGACCATGCAGCGCTACGTAACAGCTACCTAGGCATCTCTCTAACCGACTGCATAGCACCACCTGGACAAGAGCATCTGGCGATCGTAAAGCTGCGTCGCCATGGCTCCTAAACAGGACACACCCTTCCGCTCTGCGGACATGAGCATGGTGCAGCTCTATGTCTCCAACGAAATAGGCCGCGAGGTCGTCACTGCACTTGGAGAGCTCGGCCTCTGCCAGTTTCGAGACGTATGGAATCTTGTTCGCCATCAGCTGAGTCGTCAATACGCCAGTTGATTCCTAGAAAAACTCAGATCTCGCTGACTGAATCAATATGAACAGCTTAACGAAGACGTCAGCGCCTTTCAACGCACCTACACCCAGGAAATTCGACGCCTTGACAACGTGGAGCGACAACTGCGTACGTCGACATATTCCCGCTCCTCGAACCAATGTTCGACTTGTGACTCGCTAACATGCAGCCTCTCAGGATACTTCAACTCACAGATGGAAAAGACCGGAATCGCTCTCCGCAAACTTGATCTCGATACCGAAAGCCTCGCTTGCCCCTCCACCACCGAGATTGACGAGCTCGCTGAGCGCAGCGAGAAGCTCGAGCAGCGCGTGTCGGCCCTCAATGACAGCTACGAGACGCTCAAGAAGCGCGAGGGCGACCTCACCGAGTGGCGCTGGGTCCTGCGCGAGGCTGGAAGCTTCTTTGACCGCGCTCATGGCAACGTCGACGAGATTCGCGCCTCGATGGACCACAATCAAGACGACGCCCCGCTGCTCGCCGACGTGGAGCAGCACCGCGCCGCCCCCGAGGTTGAGCGCTCCTTTGGCGGCATGAACATTGGCTTCGTCGCCGGCGTCATTGCCCGCGACCGCGTCGCCGCTTTTGAGCGCATCCTCTGGCGCACCCTCCGCGGCAACCTGTACATGAATCAGTCGGAGATTCCCGAGCCGCTCATCAACCCCGTCAACAACGAGGCCGTTGCCAAGAACGTCTTTGTCATCTTTGCCCACGGAAAGGAGATTATTGCCAAGATCCGCAAGATTTCCGAGTCTATGGGTGCAGAGGTGTACAGTGTCGACGAGAACAGCGACCTGCGCCGTGATCAGATCCATGAGGTTAACAACAGGCTCCAGGATGTGCAGAATGTGCTTCAGAATACGCAGGCTACTCTCCAGGCCGAGCTCAATCAAATCTCCCAGTCATTGTCTGCTTGGATGGTGCTGATTGCCAAGGAAAAGGCCGTCTACGGCACTCTTAACCTCTTCTCGTACGACAGAGCCCGTCGTACGCTGATTGCAGAGGGCTGGTGTCCGACCAACGATCTACCACTCATCAGATCAACCCTACAGGATGTGACAAACCGCGCCGGCCTTTCGGTCCCTTCCATCATCAATGAGATTCGCACCAACAAAAAGCCTCCCACATATCTCAAGACGAACAAGTTTACCGAAGGTTTCCAGACCATTGTCAACGCTTACGGTACCGCCACTTATCAGGAAGTCAACCCCGCCATGCCGGTTATTGTGACTTTCCCTTTTCTTTTTGCCGTCATGTTTGGTGATTTCGGCCACGCCGTTATCATGTTGTCTGCTGCGCTGGCCATGATTTATTGGGAGCGCTCGCTCAAAAAAGTAACTTTCGAACTGTTTGCCATGGTTTTTTACGGGCGTTATATCGCCCTGGTTATGGCGGTGTTCTCTCTATTTACCGGTCTCATCTACAACGATGCTTTCTCCAAGTCCATGACGCTCTTTGACAGCGCCTGGGAGTTCAAAGTGCCCGAGAAGGGCTTCAAGGAGGGCCAGACGATCGAGGGAACCCTCAATGGCCACGGTTACCGCTATCCCTTTGGTCTCGACTCTGCATGGCACGGCACAGATAACGATCTTCTCTTCAGCAACAGTTACAAGATGAAGATGAGTATCCTGCTGGGTTGGGCTCACATGACTTACTCGTTGGTCTTTGCCTACGTCAATGCTAGGCACTTCCGCAAGCCCATTGACATTTGGGGCAACTTTGTGCCGGGCATGATTTTCTTCCAGTCCATTTTTGGCTACCTCGTTGTCTGCATTATCTACAAGTGGACGGTGGACTGGGAGGCCGCTGACAAGCCCGCCCCTGGCCTGCTCAACATGCTGATTTACATGTTCCTGCAACCCGGTACCCTCGCCGGTGGAGAGCGGCTCTATGCTGGGCAGGAATATGTCCAGGTCGGTCTGCTTCTGCTGGCTTTTGCCCAAGTTCCCGTGCTACTGTTCCTCAAGCCCTTTTACCTCCGCTGGGAGCATAACCGCGCCCGCGCCAAGGGCTACCGCGGCCTCGGCGAGACTTCACGCGTTAGTGCCTTGGACGAGGACGACGAGGGCGAGGGCCTGATTCACGGAGGTGGCCACGGAAACAGCATTGATGATGGCGAAGGTGTTGCCATGATTTCGCAAAACGTCGACGAAGAGCACGAAGAGTTTGAGTTTAGCGAGGTTATGATTCACCAAGTCATTCACACCATCGGTATGTATTTATGCATGATTAGATCTTTGATCTTTGACGGCTAGCTAACCTTGTGTCTAGAATTCTGTCTCAACTGCGTCTCCCACACTGCTTCCTACCTACGTCTCTGGGCTCTTTCCCTTGCCCATCAGCAGCTCAGCGTCGTCCTGTGGACCATGACCATTGGCCTCTGCCTGCCCATGACTGGCGTCGTCGGTGTCATTGCCATTGTCATTGGCTTCTACATGTGGTTTTTCCTGAGTACGTTTCCGATGCCATCCACCTCACGCCCACCCACCAATTTGACCGAACTCCCGCTAACCTTTTCCACCCTACAGCCATTGCCATTCTTGTCTGCATGGAAGGCACCAGCGCCATGCTGCACTCGCTGCGTCTGGCTTGGGTCGAGTCCTTTTCCAAGTTTGCCGAGTTTGCGGGGTGGCCATTTGTGCCATTCTCGTTTGCGACCCTGCTGGAAGAGTCGGAGGAGCTCAAGGAGTACCTAGGATAGATGCGACGCACAACATACACACCTGTAGTCTAGTGTTTGTTTTTGATTTGTTACTGTTATATACTGCTTTACCGAAGATTAGTGTGCTATTGGACTTGTCTTCTCTAGATGCGAGGCTGTCCTGAACCCCTATATTCTGCTGCAAGGCAAAACTCGGCAATATAATCTACCAATAACGTCTCTATGTCTTTGACTTTGTAATTTGTGGAAATAAACAAAACCTAAAACGGAGAAATGAAGCGGATGAAGGGAAAATATCATGGAAACGTTTCATGATTGCATTACTTGTATCATGCGTCATCTGAGAACACCTTAACCCGTCTCTCTTGCACAAATTATTGTTGCATGCACCTTTTCCAAATGCATCATGCCTGTTACGTTTTCATTCACCCCCACAGCGGCGCCGTCACTTCCACCGCGCGCTCAACCACTGCGCGCACGCGGTCCGCAAACACGGCCTTGCTGCTCTCAACCTCGAGATCCTCGAGCCATACCGTCGCCGTCATGCTGTCCACCTTGATGGAGACGCCGGGGACGGGGATGCCCAGCTTGTGCAAGCGCTCGAGCTCTCTGCGCTGGCGCTGCTCAAGGGCGGCGGCCTCGTCGTCGTCCCCACCGCCGCCATTCTCGACGTCCATGGCGTCGGCGTCAGGCTTGACTGCGTCCGCCGCGTCGTCTGGTGGCGGTGACGGCAGGGCGGGCGTGGCGGGCAGGCGCGGTGTCTCGATGGGGGCAACATTGTCGGCGCCGAACTGGGCCTCGAGGAACCAGAGCAGCCGCTCGAGGCGGTCCTCTGGTGAGATGCGCGCGTGAGGGTTGCGGTCCGGCAAGGGAGATGCGTCCGGGGATGCGTGGGCGTGGCCGCACTTGCCAGAGGACTTCTTGACGGCGGCCGGGGAGCTCTCGACGGAAAAGAGTACCGCCATGACTGAGTCGGCGATGCCGTCGTTGAGCATGTTGCCCTCCCACTCGAGCTCCACCTCGCCGTTGGTGCGGTACCGCACCGTCACGCAGCCCATGACAAGGTACGCCGCTACAAGCCTGGGGATTTCCTCGTCGGCTGCCTCCTCCTCCTCCGCTTCCGGGTTGTATTCGTCGTCCCCGCCATCTTCCGCGTCCTTATCGGTGACCTTGCTACCCTTGGCCGCCGCCGCATTCTGCAAGTGGCACATCTCGGGCAGTTCCTCGACGCTGCCAAAGGTGCCCTCGAGCGCCCACTTGATCAGGTCGATGCCCGCGGCGCTCAGCGTTAGTCGTTGCCGGCATATAATTGTGGTCGTGTTGAGGCCGGCGTACTCGCGGAGGTCTTCAGGTGCCATGAGAGACAGCTTGAAGTCGTTTTGGACCAAGACACCTGACACCAAGGGGCCAGCCGCGTTAGCCTCAGCGTCCTTGCCACCCTCATCGGACGGGACAATGGGGCGCGGCGGCGGGATAGAGGCCAGCTTGCCTACGACCTTGGCAATCTTGTCGGCCTTGAAGGGAATGCGTAGCAGTTCGGTATTACGAGGTGAATACACCTTGACCTTGGTCGTCTTGTTGGCATTGAGCGACAGTAGTTTCGATTTCAGACGCATCATATTCGTCTGCTCGCCATGCACTAGAATCTACCGTGTGTTAGTAGCTGCGTAAAAGCGCAACAGATTGTGGGAAACATACCACCACGGGTGCCGCGACTTCTTCGATAAACTCGCGGTTCTCGACACCGTCAACGTGCGCGGCAAAGGAATACTCCTGCACGCTACATCGCAGCGGGATCATGACCTTTTCGCCGTCGCCTCCAGGCGCTCTTCTCGCACCGGCAATGCTACGTGACATGACGGCCTGAATCTGTTCTGGCTCCTTCATGATCTGGCGCGCCATAGTGCCTTCCACGCTATAACCCGTAATAATGACGCCGTTCTTGTCGCTCGGCGCCCAGCGCTCAAACAATTCGCGGCTGACGCCGTTTTGTAGCATACCCGGGCTAGCTAGCATGACACAACCACCGACATCATCAAAGCGATCTAGATTCTTCAGCGAACGAATGTATTTGAAGTCCCAAGGACCACCAGCTCCAGCCTCTCCTGATGTTTCCGCTTCCGCCATGCGTTCCCTAAACAGTCGCTTGATATTGTCGTTCATGGCACCAACGTAGGTCTGATAAATGAGCATACACTTTTTCGCCAGGTTACTGGCGTAGTATATTGGGTATTTTTGAAATTCGGAGTGCTTTCCCCAGTATTCATCCAGGATTAATAGAAGCTCTTGGGCTCTTCCCAGAGCAAAGACTGGTAAGAGCGCGCGACCTCCTCTATTCAGAATATTGGTTATGGACTTCATGAGAGCCTGCTCACGTTCCAAACGAGGGACGTGCGATGCAATACCGTACGTGGACTCTGTGATCAAGACATCAATTTTGACGCCTTTTGGGACTTCCGCCGAGACCAAATGTCTGTCTTGCTCTCGAGAGTAGTCGCCTGTGAAGAATATGTTGAGCCCGGCGATCTCGATGAGAAACATAGCAGCGCCCAGCACATGCCCTGCGGGATATGGCGTAATACGGATGGAGGATATCGTGTGTGTCGTATGGTAATCGATGGCTTCGATTTGTGGAAAGGTATTTAGATGATCTTGCTCAGTGTAAAGAGGCTGCGTAGTCTGATTCGCCGATGTGTTGCCCACACGAACACTGTCTTGAATAAGCCACTTGTAGATTGCCTTTGTCGGATGCGTCATGAACACTCGTCCTCGAAAGTTCGTCTTTGCTAGAACATATGGCAGAGATGCGGCGTGGTCGATGTGGAAACTGGGACCGAAATTAGTGACGGGCGCAAAGAGCGACTCAACGAGAAGGCCCTTGTAGAGTAGCGCAATCCTCACTGGCTAATAAGCAGCACATCGACTGTGCTCAGATCGAAATCATCATAAAAAGGGAGCGCAGCAAGGCCATCGTAGGCAGGATGCTGGCCAGCGTCCAGCTGCGACTAGTTAGTACTTGTCGGTCGCAATGTCCCAATTCGAGCTCACCATGACCGTCTTGCCCTTATATTGAATAATGTGACAAGATCTTCCAACCTCATTTCCACCACCCAAACATAAAAAAATAAGCTCGTCGGAAGGATCAACCGGCTCGTCTGAGGCGGCCGCATTCATGGCGGATGCCTTGCGTTTCGAAGCCATGCTTGCGCCTGTCGTTGTAAAGATTACCTTCCCTCAGCGCCAAAAAATTCACCAAACTCCAGTTTGGCCTCCGAATATCGTTTTATATGCGCCAGTGTGTTCAGATGAGCAATCTCAAAAAGGCATTGTGTCAAGACGCGATGCAAGCTTCAAGCTTATCGCGGGTAATGGTCGGCCAACAACGGGAAAGCAGCTCGTGCGCACGTGACTTCAAGCTTCCACTGCCCCGACTTGAAGGAGCACGAAGTTTCCCACCTACGCATCACGCTCCCTAGCCAAGGTCTCTTCGAATCGATTGCGACAGCCCCAAATTCTCATCTGGGTGCGGGTCATTCAGCAAGCGCGCTCGAGCAGCATTCATCGATACAAGCAATATTCATACAATTTACGGAGTCGCGACATTACTTGCTGGAGGTGGCGCGTCGAATGGGACGAGCAGCATCCGACGTGACGGGCTTTGTTGCCCGCTGACAGCATCATCGCACTAGCCCTAGCCGCCGTATCTCTTCCTTGCGCACGCTCTGCAAACTGAAGCGGAGCTCCGCGTCTGAGTCGTATCATCATGGCTCAGCCCCAGTCGCAGGTGCCGGCGCGGGCCTATTCGCCGCCGCAGCCTACTCCTTCGCCAGCGGGCTCTCAGTCGGGTTATGCGCTCCCGCCCAACAAGCGAGTCGGAGCATCCTCACAACCCGGCTCGCCGTATATGGCAACATCTTACGCTGCAAGCCCCGGCGCGGCTGGCAGTCCTCCCACGGCCGGCTCACCTACATACGCGCAAACGCCTCCCGTGCAGGGTGGATACAACACTCCTTATGCAAACGGCACGCCCGTATATAACGTTGCCGAGGCTCGAGCTGCGGCTGCAGCGGCTGCAGCCGCGAATGCGAATGCGACGATTTCTCCGATGCAACAACACCAACAGATTCCCGCGATGATGACGCCCTACACGAACGCAACACTTATGCCTGCTATGCAGCAAGGGCAGCAGCAGATGCAACAGAACGTCATGGGGCCCCCTCAACGACCTGCAGAGAGACCAGCTAAGGACTATGAATACGACGTGACAGACTCGCTCGCAGGAACCGGTATTGATTTGCGCGCCGAAGAACAGTATATGTCCGAGCTCTATTCCAATGCGATGGACGGAAATCAAGACGCACGCACGGGATTTGCTGTGTATCCGCCGACTGGCGCGAACTCGTTCTATGGTGCCGGACCTGCAAGCCAGCCTGCGGAAATGATTAAAGACCAGTCTCAGAAAGATTATGAGGCTCATGTCGCAGAGCGTCTTTGGAAGGAATCGGCTATGAGATTGGCAGCTCAAAGAACGCAGGAGATAGCGGACCCTTTCCTCTTTGTAGCGATTATGCATCGCCGAGCGGATAAGATTGCGCGTGAGCATCATCTTGGTCTTAATCTCGAGCTTCGCGGCAACACTTATGCGCCCGGAAAACTGCGCCACCCTGATCAATTCCCTACTCCATCTGTGAACGTCAAGACTCAGCCAGGGCCGGACTCGACAATGGTCAGCACCACCGGATCATTCATACCGCACGACGCCTACTTGGTTGACCAGTTTGCGCTGCTGTCAATCAGTACCAAGCAACGATTGCGAGAACTTCTCGAGGACGCAAATGCGATTGCACTCAATAGACAAAAGACGTCACATGGCGATATTCCAGAGGAATGGGCGGCCGCTGCGGCGCCTATGAACAAGGAAGTGCTTGAAGTTGTAGAGGCACCAAATGCGGAGGGCAGGTCCGAGGTCGGCGACGGCTCTCTGAAGCGTAAGAGCAACTGATATGAGGCCAACTATTGTTTGCTAACTCTCTATACAGGCACTTGGGATCAAGCGAACGGTGAAGTGAATACGAAGCCCGCGAAATTGCCGAAAATTTCTTCATACATGACAGTTACCATGCGTGAGCTGGCCAAGCGGGAGCGCGAGTGGGAGGAGGCTCGTCTACGAAGGCGTCAAAAGAGAAAGGATGGCACCCTCGAAACGACGACGGCTGGGCCAAAGTCTGGCAGCGCTGCTCCCGGAACACCTGGAACAGTTGCGCCAGAGTCAGACAAGGCGATGACAAAGAAGGAGCAAAAGAAGAACCAAGCTATGAAAGCGGCGGAAGCCAACAGTCACGCGAACCAAAACTTGACGAGTAGCATGTTTGCTGGTCTGGGAGGTAAAAGTGGACTGTTCGGTAAGAGCAAACGCAAGACTTACGATTGGATGAATGTCGGCCGAGGAGGCAGCGGAGCGAGCACACCAGTCAAGTCTAGTAGCGATGGCGGCAAGGTGGTCAATGGCATGGGACCGTCGACGCCAACCAACTTGGCACTGACGACAGAGGGTCGAAACCGTCTCGGTACCTGGCGTGAGGACAAGGAAAAGGGGAGGAACATTCAGCTACGCGACTGGATCGCAGTCTTGGAGCGAGATGGGCGAGAAGCGCAGATGCTCCAACACGCATATCTGCAACTTGATTCATCAAACCCTAGATAATTTTGCCACTAGGGACACGGCCGAAGTGGCACCAAGAGGGGCAGATTGACGGGCGCCTCTCGACGATATCCTTCTTTATTTGTCTACCCATAGGTGTATTTTACCTTAGCCTGGCGTTTGTTTTGATATTGTCTTTTTGTTTTTTTCTACCCAAGGGCATTGGGGGTACCGGACTTTGTTTTCTGCTATGGTGGCGCTCTGAGAAGCTCCAAAAGAGTTCAAATGAGGAGCAAAAATACCGCTCTCAGAGTTTGGAATGGCTAAGCCTGTGTGCATGGGATGATGCGTAGGAGTAACGGACGGATCGCAAGAGAAGATGGGAATTAGCTCTTGCAGAATTGAAAAAAAAATTAATTACCAAGACTTTTAAATCAAGTTCTCTAACTAGACTTAATAAGTAATCAAGTGTCATTGCGCCATGATGTGTCAACTCAAAAGTGGACCGAGGACTTCATGCTTGCTAGCTACATACTCAAAAACAGCCGCATTCATCAGAATGGCGATAGCAGTATGTTTCATTCTCTCTTTCTCTATGAATCGAGTAGTTGGACTAACTTCTTTTCTACTTATCAGGCTGTCGGGCAAATATGCTCCACTGCCTCTCTAAAGGGAAACTTGGAGCAGTGCGTCAAGCTGGTGGCCAAAGCCGCAGCCGGCGGCGCCAAGGTAAGCCAGTTTGTTGCTCGCTCACATGCCCACGCAGCAATGGTCAATGGCTCATGAAACCTTTTTTCTTTTTCTTTTTCTTTTTTTTCCAGGTTCTCTTCCTCCCTGAAGCTTCAGATTACATTGCTCCCGATGCAAAGACGTCTCTGGAGCTGGCGCAGCCACAGACGGTGTCGCCCTTTGTCGTCGGGCTGCGCGCGGCAGCCAAAGCCCACGCTGTCGCCGTCCACGTCGGCATTCACCACATGCCTCTGTCAACAGATGCGTGCAGCAGTAACAGCAGCGGCACGGCACGGCGAATGTTCAACCGAGCCTTGTACATTACGCCCGAGGGCGAAATCGACGACGCCGCTACGTACGACAAGCTGCACGTCTTTGACTACGGCGCGCTGCGGGAGAGCGCCACCGTGCAGCCCGGCACGCGCCTCACCGCGCCCTTTGACTCGCCGGTCGGCCGCATCGGCAGCTTAATCTGCTTTGACCTGCGGTTCGCCGAAACGGCAGTGGCCCTGGCCCAGCCGGGCGCCGCGAGCGCCTGGCACGCGCGGCCGGCGCAGATTCTAACCTTTCCCAGCGCGTTTACGCTGCGCACGGGCGAGGCGCACTGGGAGACGCTGCTGAGGGCGCGCGCGACGGAGACGCAGAGCTGGGTGGTGGCGGCGGCGCAGGTCGGGCGCCACAACGAGAAGCGTGCGAGCTACGGCCGCAGCATGGTCGTGGACCCCTGGGGCCGGGTGGTCTTGTCGCTGGGAGGTGTCGCTGACGAGCAGGGCAACGCCGCAGAGGGAGCGCAAGGCCAAATTGGGTTTGTAGACGTGGATTTGGGTGAGCTGGAGAGGGTGAGGCGCGAGATGCCGCTCCAGCGTCGGATGTAAGAGTTGATGAAATTCCAGCCATATATAAGCGTCAACTGTTGAATATATCGCTCTTTGTGATGTATATCCCGAGTGGAAAGAACAAGGTTAAATAGGCAAAAGTAACATCTTTTTGCGAATCACGTCTAGTTATCTTCACCATGTTTTACTATATACAGGACATCATGAGTCGTTTCCAAGACGCACCAAATATTCTTCAAATATTCTCCAAAAGTCATTACTCAGCCTTGGACACCGACGCAAATGTAAAAATCCACAAAGAGATGGCTGCAGTCCTTGCCAATAGCTGGGTTCCAGCTGACAAGCTGCTCGAGGTTGAAGGCCTTGTTGTACTTGTTGATAATCTTGTCGCAGTAATCACCACTCTGCACCTTGTAGTACTTGTTGCACTTGCTGGTGATGCCGTCTTGGACAGGGCTGGGCCTGACCGGGCCCGGGTTGGCGGGCGTGCCGGGGACGGCGATGCAGTAGTAGTAGTCGACCCAGATGCCGGTGCAGTCCTTGCCGACAGCGGGGTTCCAGCTGGTAAACTCGGAGACGGTAAAGGTGCGGAGGCTGTCAACAATCTTTTGGCAGGTGTCGCCCTTTTGGGCCTTGTAGAACTTGGTGCACTTGTCGGTGAGGCCGTCCTGGGTGGGAGAGGGCTTGCTGGGGTCGGAGCCGGTCGGCGAGGTAGGAGTGCCGGGAACGCCGACGCAGACAAAGTAGTCGACCCAGAGGCCGGAGCAGTCCTTTCCGGCAGCGGGGTTCCATTTCAGGCTGTTGTTGAAACTGTGTCAGCACGGCATTGATTGCAGTGGTGCTCTTGTGGAGTTTATACTTACAAGTCGTCGAGAGAAAAGGTGTTGAACTGGTTCTTGATCTTGTCGCAAGTGTCGCCACTCTTGACCTTGTACCATTTCTGGCCTATGATCAAACCATTAGATTCCGAGTTTTGCACCAACTTTGGCCTTGCTTACAGTCTTTGGCAACGCCAGCCTGGGTAGAACTGGGCTTGCTGGGGTTAGAGCCGGTGGGCGAGGTAGGAGTACCAGCAACGCCAACACAGACGTAGTAGTCGACCCAAAGACCAGTGCAGTCACTGCCAGCGGCAGGGTTCCACTTGAGGCTATATCGTTGACCGTTAGCATCAGTCCATCCGGTGTAGTGTGTAGTGTTGTCTTCTTATTACTTACAAGTCGTCGGTGGAAAAGGCACCGTACTTGCTAACAATCTTGTCGCAAGTGTCACCGGCCTGGACCTTGTACCAAGCCTTGCCTGAATGAAGAGTTAGGGTCGTTTTTTTCCTCTAAATACAGCTGTGTGCAGACTTGCAGTCCTTGGCAACACCGTCCTGGATAGGCGACGGAGCGCCATCGGTAGGCTGAGTAGGAGTGCTCGATGCGGTGGTGACAGCGGTAGTGAGAGTGGTGGGAGAGCCCGTGGGAGGCGTCGTAGGCTTGCTACCAGCACCATTATCCTCGACGCAGTACTCCTGACCAGCGGTCACACCGTTGGAGCAGTTGGCGCCGACAGAGGGGTTCCACTTGATGAAGTCGCTCACTTGGACACTCCAGTCGGAGCTCAGAGAATCGCAGGTGTCGCCGGCGTGAGCGCGCCACTTGTAGCTGCACTTGGCAGCGGCCAAGTTGGCTCCGGCGAGAGCAGCGACTAGAGTGGTAGTAAATCGAGTCATTGTGAACCTTGATAACCGATTGAAGTGGAAAAGTTGAAGTTGCTGGTTGGAGAAGGGAAAGAAGAAGAGTGCGAGAGCTTGGGAGGCAATACAGCCTCAATATTTATAGCTGGCAATAATGTATTGAGCGAGCTGCAGGTACACGGATGACGATTCAATGAGACTGAGCAACTAGCCCTGTGCCCAGATGCAGACTGACATGCACCGGGGTTGCATGTTTCTGTCCAATTGTTATCGAAAGAGATAGCCCATGGGCCATGGCTGAGGGACCCTGGTCCCTGGCATTCAAATGTCCCCGGAAGCAGTCCATTATGAGTATCTTCCGATGCCGAGGAATGGGGTCGTCGACGGCTCTTGGGTATGCGTCAATAGTCTTGAATATTCGGCGACTGCCCGATTCTGTATATACCCAGGCTGCATTGCAACTTTTGTTGCGACACTGGCGAACGGATCAAGTCTTGAGCACATTGAATCAACTTCTGGCTCGGCAAGACTATCAGTAAGTAGGAAAATCAGCTCAAGCTACTTGAAATTCTTTTCTGCCGTTATTATTGCCAATATGTAGTCGTACGTGACTAAACTCATAAGTTTAGTAATGTAGCATGTCGACCCCGCGCTGTTTCTCAATGCTGTCCTTTTGCCCACATTGGTATAACCCGCGCGGGGAACGGTGACGTAAATTGCGGGCAACTCAGTTGCTCTTGCTTACAAGTGTGCTGACTTTTTTTTTTATTCCGCTGCCTCCAGCAGCCGAAACATATGCCCATGTGGAAAGAAATCTTTGCCAAGACGTTCTTATAGTTCGTAGGGGGACCCTGACTCTAGACAGTTCACGGCAGGCAACTCCAGGCGGCGTCCGTCCCGTCGTCTTGCTTGGCCCTGTTTATTTCCGTCGTCTCCCAGCGCCAAGCCTGAAATACCTGCAATTTGCGCATTGTTAAAATTTGCGCCAAGACTTGTGGCGTCGATGGACGGCAGCCAAGGTCCACGCCGCATCGGTTGGAGTCCCAAAGTAGATGCAACCGAGAAGTAGTTGCCAAACAAGGTCCCATGAAGTTTCGAGCTGTGTCGCATAATATTGCGCGACAAGAGTAGAGCAGGTATTATTTCATGGAGACATTTCAAGCAACAAATAAGCATGAACGGATAGAAGCGCATGGAGCCAGTTGCCAGGCATCTGCGGCCTGCTGCAAGTAGAAACTCGCGTCCCGATTATTTGAGCACTTTGTAAGCGGGCATGTTTGTTTCTAGACATTTTTTTCTTCATCTTCTCTCGCGGATTGCTGCAAAACCATGACAGCCGGTCAGAGGCGGTCGCCACTCGTCAAGCGACTCTCGGCACTGGTGCCAAGAATGTCCATCTCGATATGCCAAGACCGGGGCAAAACTTTTGTCAAATCAAAATATCCCGACTATGCAACTCTAGTTTCTAATACAGGATTGATTGTCATGTCGTCCGAAAGTCTGCAGTATAAAATTGGAAACATTGTCGTTGAGTCCGCATTTTGGAAGGACATGTGCCTGAGCTAGAGCACAAACTGCTCGACTTTTCCGTGCTACATGACATTCTGGTAATCATTAACACGAGACGTTAATAAAGGCCAACCACCGCTGTAGTCAGTGTCCGCGTGGTATCAGACTCGCATACAAATCACGCTTTTTCCAAGTCAGCCACCTCCAAACATGGTGGCCATGCAAGACTTGCAGGGGCGAAAGGTTGATACAGTCTACCAAGTACATTTTGACATTTCAGTGGCTTGGTTGCACTATCACAATAGACCTTCGTTGCCTTTTACTGCAATCCGCATGCTGCAGCCCGCAGAATTACCTCATCCGAGTGTGGCAGGGCAACGATGCACCACCACCCCTCACTATGTCAGCAAATTTCAAGCCACACTGGAATACGACGGAAACAAACGAGCGCAGCCCAACACCGACCGCCATCATGGAAGTGCGCAAAAAATCCTTGCTCATTGGCATCAATTACCTCGGGAGTGATCATCAGCTCAATGGATGCCATCGAGATGTTGAGAATATTGCCGAGTTTCTCAGCTACCGAGGCTACTCGTCGGATCCTCGCTCCCAAGTCATATTAAGAGATGACTTGGGGGGCATGTACTACCCCAGCGGACATAATATACTGGTGAGGGTTGACGACTCTGAATATACATGCCCATTCAGCTGGCTGACTCCCTCATGCAGGCTGCCATTGATTGGCTTGTCAGCGAGCCCGGAACCTGCAACTTCTTCCACTACTCGGGACATGGCGGGCAGGTCCGCGACCCGACAGGCCAGCGACCCTCGGGCATACTGGACACAATCTGCCCCGTCGACTTTGAAGAGCGCGGGCAGATTGACTCGGACACGCTCCACCAGCACCTCGTCTCTCGCATGCCCGCCAGCAGCACCCTGTTTGCCATTCTGGACTGCTGCCACTCCGGTTCCGCCCTCGAGCTGCCCTACGTGTACAAGACGGACGATGAGGGCAACGTCAGCCTGATTGACAATATCCGCGAGGGCATGCACCTGATGAGCGAGGCGTCGGACCTCCTTCGCGGCGGCTTCAGCTTTGACAAGCTCGCCGAGGCGCGGGACCTGTACGCGGGCGCCACGTCGTTTTTTCGCTCCTTTAAACACATGGGCGAGGAGCAGCAGGCCGAGGGCCTAGGCGAAGACGAGGACAGCGCCATGTATCAGCAGGAGCACAAGATGGTGGCCATGTTTTCCGGCTGCCGCGATGACCAGACGAGTGCGGATGCCAACATTGGCGGCGTCAACGAGGGTGCCATGTCGTGGGCTTTTTTGCAGGTGATGAGGAGATGTCCGAGCCCGAGCTTCCTACAGACTCTTCATGAAACGCGATTGTGCCTTCGCCAATCCAACTATGAGCAGGTACCACAGCTTTCAGTCGGTCTACAGATGGACCTTGAGCGGCCATTGACCCTGTGATTTGTCATGTCGAACCTGATTCAGTATTTGTGTATAGAGGCTTTGCATAAGACGTAAATAAAAACAAAGACGATATAAAACATTGGTCGAGCGAGGAAACACCAGATGCACTCTTACGCATGATTGATTTTATCATTTCCACTCTCTTTACTTGTTAGGAAATGCAAGGTAGCTCCTCGAAAAGCAATTTTCCCATCTAAACCCTGACTTGCTAGTTGCATTTGTCTCGGCCGATTTGGCTTTGCACAAGCTGCATGCGTCTATCAAAGCGGTTCACACTATACTGATGCGCACGGTTTCCTTCTTTTTCTTCTTTTCCTTCTTCCTGCCCTGCTTTTGTTCTTTTCTTATTCAATCTTCTTTTCTTTTGTCATTTTTGCCTCCTGTTTCATGTCCTAGGAAGCTTGGATCAAATGCGGGCAAAGCGGCATCAACTTTGCCACAACAAACTTTGTTGCTTTTTATAGAGCTTGGTGGCTGCCAGCTCGAGCCTTTTTCTTTATCAACAAAGAAATGATCGCCGAGTTGCTTGGACATGCCGAAAAAGGAAATACAACATTTGCAATCGAAATAGCCATGATTGTCTCCATCATCTTGGCAATGCTAATCTCGACAGATGCATGGTTTGCTGTCTCCTGCAACAGGATTTCACCCTCTTGCAAATAGGGCGCCTATAAGTGAAATCTGCTGCTTTGTCTAGC